TCATTTTTAATGACTTAATTGGGAATTATTTACAGAGTCTCATGTGCCCTTTACAAGTCACGGTCTTACATTCTACCTTTTGTTTTCAGAACCCACCTGGTTGAGAAATTCTCAGTCATTATAGAGGTTTTTATTTAAAAAGTCTCCTTGGTGCTTTATGAATTTCACTGAAATGTTTCTCATGATGCTACTGAGGCTACTATTTAATTCCAAAGGTGACTTTTTAGGACCCATACCAAGAATGTGTGGTTTTGGTCAGCAGTGCTATAATAGTGAAATTTTATCTTTACTTAGTATTAATGTAATTTCTTTATGGTAAATATGCTGACCTTATATCTTTACTATTATTTAAGTATTGGCTAAATATTTTGCATCTGACTTGAACTGCAGATCCATTTAAAAGTGAAATAGTTAAAGCAGGAACTATTTGCTTATTTTATCTCTGTTCTGAAATGTCCATTTTCTGTAGCAGAGAAGATGGATATTATAATTTAGGTCGTATTTAGCACCAGAGTCTCATGTGCCCTTTACAAGGATGGATATTATAATTTAGGTCGTATTTAGCAACTTCTTGCATTTCACTAGTTGTACACTAACTCCTGCTTTGTGAATCTGAGATTCAGTAGACAATTGTTTCTGGAAAATTATGCATTTTATTAAATGGGTTCTTTTAGTTATTTTATATGTAGATACAGATAAAAAAGAATTCTGTATGTGTTTATTAAAAAGAATGTAATTATCCTTAAGAGCAAGAGTTGTAGATGAAAATCATCTGTGGTAAGACAATGCTCTTGTTAGAAATCAGGCTGCTGACATGTAACAGAAAACCATTCTCTTAAAGAAGTGCTTGTCCTCTGACTTTGATAAAACTATTTGAAAGGCAGCAGTTCTCCTCAGCACAGGACACTCTCTGTAAGCTGTAGCGTGGGGATCTGACCTAACTGTGCCCAAGAGGACACGTGGCAAAATTCCATGACTTCTAGAGACAAGCTGGTTCCTCCAGGCTGGTTTGAATATATGCCAAGCGCTCTTGTTTCTGAAAGTCTCCTTGGCTTCTGTGTGGGATGGTGTAAACACGTGGAATTGATTGTTTGTCATGCTGTGCTCTGACAGCTTGGGAGTAGAAGGATAAAATAAGGAACACTTGACTAGGCTGATGTACACCGAGTTTGTGCAAACCTGTGCTGCTTCAGGGTTGGAGTTGTTTTTCAGAAGCAGGCATGTATTGTTTTTGGCGCACATGACCTGTTGGAGCTGGTCTGGACTGCTAAGAACACACGAGGGGTGGTTAATACGCAAGCTTTGTACTTAGTCAGTGATAAGGAAGTGATGATACGTTCCTTTTGGGCCCTCAGTTCAGCTTGTTTGCCCAAAAAGTTGTGGCAGAATAGAAAGGACAACTGTAAATGTCAGTCTGTTTTGCTTTTGGAGAGGTTTATCTGAAGTAACACTTCAACATTGCAGTTCTGAGTGCACTGTCGAAATACAATTGTTTAGAAAAAGTTAAATAAAATTGTTGAGAATGGTTTTTGTAAATCCTCTGTTTAATTAGAGCATTTATTGATGCTATGTTTCCCCCCCCCCACTACCAAAACCTTGCCATGCAAACCCAGTACGGATAATAAGATGATCTGTGAGTGTCTGAGCAGTATTTCTGTTGGACATCTGTAATATCTGTATTTGGTTTTTTTGAATCTAGCTTAATGGAGCAAACTCCAACCCAGATGGGAGAAGAAGCTGTAAGGTGGGCAAAACTGATCATTCCTCTGGTCGTCCACTCAGCTCATAAGGTGCAGTTACGTGGTGCCACTGCTCTGGAGATGGGCATGCCACTGCTTCTCCAGAAACAGCAGGAGGTAGCGGCTGTCACCGAGCACCTCATGACCACAGTAAGTGGAAATGCTTTTTTTCTAGAGATAACAGGAATCAGGGTTGTTGGTTGGTTGGGGGGTTTTGAAATTTTATGTGTAGGTAGTGATAGCAAAAAGCTTGACAGCAATTTCTTGATGACAGCACTTTTGACAGAACAACTGATGTAACATCAAGATAAATAGAAGGCCACTGTATTTACCAGCAAATGCTGTGTGGTGGTACAGAATTAAATCCTTCTGATCTAGAAATAGCAGAGTTCCAGGTTGGTTGTGTCTCCAGACATTGGTATGAGTATATAGTCTTTAGAATACTTGGAATATATTCCTTGGAGGAGTTAATGTTTCTTTCTCTCTGCAGAAATTAATTTCAGAACTTCAGAAATTGTTTTCTACAAAAAATGAGACGTACGTGTTAAAATTATGGCCGCTGTTTGTCAAATTACTTGGGAAGGTAAGCAGGAAAGTAGTAAGTTTTGCAAGCATGAATCTTTAGGGAAGGAATTTATGACAACATAAATACCTTAATTCTGAACTTCTTTTATCTTCAGACCCTGCATCGTAGTGGCAGTTTTATCAACTCCCTGCTGCAACTGGAGGAACTTGGATTTCGTAGTGGCTCACCAGTGGTAAAGAAAATAGCCTTCATTGCATGGAAGAGTCTAATAGATAATTTTGCTCTAAATCCAGGTAGATTAAAAAAAATTAACCTAAATTCTTTTTGATTGCTGTCACTTTAGAAAATATTCTGTCTAATAATGGTCAATACTATGGTACATACTGCTGGATACACACGTAGTATCTGCAGTGTATATATAGTGATGTATACTGTGTGTATACACATAAGTAATAAAATTCAAGTGTGTTGTGTTTTGTTTTGTTTTTTTAAGAGAAGTGACAGTTTGATCAGTAATTCTAGCTTAATTTTTCTGCTAGGAGAAATGAATAGAATTAAAATTAACAAGCTGTTGTTTTGTAATGCTTTAATTGATCCAAACAGCAATGAAATAGGGAATAAACATTCTGTAGATCGTATTTTGGGCTGTGGAGAGGAGCAATGCTTCAGGATTCTAGAGGTGTTTAAACAAAAGTTGCTTTAAAGGAATAGCTGGGATCTGAACAAGTCTTCTAAGTCTAGCCTGTGTCAAAACACACAATATTTATTTTTTTTATTACCTTGATTTTGCTTCTCCTTTAGTGTATGTCCTGAAGAGAAAGCTGAATGTGGACATTTCTTAGTTTAGCTGGATTTAACTCATTTAAATTTGTTTCTTACCTGGCCATCTGTTCTGATTGTTGTTTCCCATAAATGAATTAACAAAGGATTTGATTCTATCAGAAGCTAAAATCCCCAGCACAGTTGCCCTGGCTGTGTGTGTTCCAGTGTGGCTAATGAGGGATGGGATACTGCAAACGTGGTTTCTGTCAGCAGCTCCTGAGCAATTGCAGGTGGACAGGTTCTGATGCTGCTGAGCTGGCTAAAAGTTTCTTCTCTTCTTTGAACACTTGCCTAAGCTTGAGCAAACATCTGTCCAGACATGCTATGCTATTTCTGCTTCAGTGGGAAATGGTCATTTGCGGCCTCAGAACACTGTATTTAAGGTGGTTCATTCTCATCCAGTGGCAATGCACAGATGTTTGAAGTGGTTTTTCTTTTACTGTGGCAGATAGGACTCTAACATAGCAAGCAAGAGCGAATTTCCTTCTGGTTATGTTAGTATTCAGGAGATTTCATTTCAGTCTTGCTATTGGAAAGAAATACTTTGCTATTTCCAGGGTTGTTCTAGGCAACAGTTAGAGCAGTAAAATAATCTGAAAGGTTGGTGCATTTATGTGATAGTTTCTATGTATTAAAACTAAAACTATATATTTTAGTTTTGCAAATTGTCATTAATTGAATTATAAGCTAAAATACATAAGGAAAAAAAAATAATGGTTTAAAAATTTCCCCTTTTCTGTTGTTTAGTTTTTTGTGTTGCTTAAAAATATGCTTTTTTTCTTTTTCTTTTTTGGTCTTCAAGATATATTGTGCAGTGCTAAGAGACTGAAGTTGCTAATGCAGCCGCTGAGCTCCATCCATGTGAGAACAGAGGCTTTGGCACTGACGAAGCTGGAGGTCTGGTGGTACTTACTCATGAGGCTGGGACCTCAGCTGCCTGCAAACTTTGAACAGGTAACACAACTGGCAATAGTCATAGCATAGTCACTTAGCCAGTACTGAGTGTGTGAAGCTAACTCCCCTCTTTCTTACCTTTGTGACTTATTCTGTACCTGCTTTGTCTTTCTCTAGTTTATTATTAAAATAAAAGGAACCAAATCTGACTTGTGTGTGTGGGTTATATATAGCAGAGCCAAGTCAAGATGCTATATGTGCAATCTTAAAGTTCCAAAAAGATGTGGGAGCATATCACAGAATCTCATATTTGTGTGTCATGTGAGCATCTCGGTGAAAAGCTGAGTGCACCACAATGGTAAACATCAGCACGTTGCACAAGGACTGCTTTGTCCTTTCACTGTGCAAGTGGGTGCTTTGGAAAGTCTGCTGGAGGAAAACATGCTGCAAAGATCATGAAAAGGGCAGTTAATGATAGAACAAGGGGAAATGGGTTTAAGCTGAAAGAGGGGAGATGGAGATGAGATGTGAGGAAGAAATTCTTTGGTGTGAGGGTGGTGAGACAGTGTCCCAGGTTGGCCAGAGAAGCTGTGGCTGCTCCTCCCTGGAAGTGTTGAAGGCCAGGCTGGATGAGGCTTTGAGCAACCTGGTCTAGTGGAAGGTGTCCCTGCTGCTGGCAGGGGGGTTGGAACTGGATGAGCTTTAAGGTCCCTTCCAACCCAAACCATTCTATGATTCTATGAAATACTTAGAAAGGTGCATAGAGAGAAAACTGATCCAGGTGTTTCATTCCTACTCTCATTGTGACTGGAATGAATGTGTTTCTATTAGGTTTCTGAATTTAATGAAGTTAAACTTCAGGAATAAAGGAAAAAAAAAACCCAACTTTTTAGATATGCTCCAGTTGGATCATTCTGACATGAGTTTTTATTTAATCCAGCCATTTCTAATTCATGTATCAGTGTACACATTTTATACTGCATCTTAAAAATTTTGTTGTAAGTACCCAGAAACTCTGAAACCCTGATGCTGTGAACAACAGTACAGTCTGTGTGATAATTGGAACACATTGTTCTTCGTGCCTTATGGCTTGTATGTGTCACCACCTGTTTTCACTGAGGTTTGATATCTTTGCAGGTTTGTGTACCGTTAATCCAGAGTACTTTGAGTCTAGATCATTCTGCAGCATTGCAAGGAACTCCCTCACGTCTACCAGCCAACCAAAGTTTAACCTCAGCAACCCCTGCACAGAAATCAGGTATTAAAGTAGAAGCCTGTTTCCAACTATATTCTAATAATTTAATAGTATAATATGTTCTATTTAACATGTTTATACTTTTAAATTTGCAATATACTATTAATGAAAACGGTAATTTTTCTGCACGTTCATTGGAGAGGTCAGAGATGTCCCTGCTGCTGGCAGGGGGGTTGGGACTGGATGATCTTTAAGGTCCCTTCCAATCCTAACCATTCTATGAACTTCTATGGTGATTTACATTGGCCAAAATTGGACTGTTGTAGTCAATATTTCAAGTTCCCTAAATTGTTCTAATCAATTTGTGTTAAGGACCGGTCTCAACGTCCTGAATTGTGTTCTCTTTTGCAAGGGAGCTTTGCTTTGAAACTGAGTTTTTTTTCATATATTCGAGTATGAATGAGTGCTATTTATATATGCTGTTCTCATTTCTGTAGCATGTTTAGTTTCTGCCTGAATAGGTACCCACTGATCACAATACAGCAATAATTTTGGTACTTCAAATACGTGTGAAATCACACCTACTTGAGCTTTACATCTAAATCCTTGAGATAAGGAACTGCCTCTCTTTCTTCTCACTACGGGAAGCTTAGCATTCACAGCTTGTGTCATTTTAGGCTGCTGTAATTAGAAGCCTCAGGTATGGTGTGGAAATGTCCTGGATGTGTAGATATTCCTTTGTTCCTTTTTTTAAAAACAAAACAAAACCCCCCAAAAACCCCCTCATTTTTGTTCTGTGAGATCCTGACTGAGGTTGGTCAAAACGCTTTGTGTGTGAGACCTCTTAAATATGTTCAGTGTAAAACTATCTAAGGGAAACCCTTTCATAACAGTAAAGTTACTAAATAACTAGTGTGTAGCATAGCATGTAACTCGTTCTATAACCACAATTTCCACTTTTGTTGCCAAAACAAAGTTTGGCACCTGAGACTTTGCAATCTTTCAAAGATGTTTGTACTTTCAAAAGCCATTTTTATAACTGTGATGTTAAACCCTGCTGAAGGATGAACAGAGTCCGTGCTATCTAGCACAGCCAACAATAGTCTGTGATTTATTCTTTTGATGTTAACTTTGGGATTTTGGGCTGTTGGATCTTTCCTTTCACTTGATTGCAGTTGAAATATGAGACTGTAATTTTTTTTCTTCCTTCACTTAGGTCCTTTCCCGTTTCCAAGTCCAGTCACACCGAGGATGACCTTGAATTCTAGTACAGCAGGAGTGGTGGCGATTCCTTCCATCCAGCTTTTGGGAATTGAAATGCTGCTTCACTTCTTGATGGGACCAGAAGTTTTAGATTTTGCTAAGCAAAACAAACTTGTGCTTAGTTTAGGTAAATGTGGGGTTTTTTTGTTTGGTTGGGTTTTTTTTAAGTATTTCCACATAATCTGAAATTGACAGTGTTGTTAGATTTTAAAGATGTCTATTAGCATGAAGTGTTTATTTAAAACTGTTAGTTGTCATCTTTAATATTAGAAGTTGCTTTTATGTTAAATGCTGTAACTACCCATATGTACTTGATTATTTTTAAGGCTTATCTTACCAGCAGACTGCAAAATAACAGATTTACAGAACATGTTTCCTTGTTCTCCTAGAGCCTCTCCAGTACCCGCTGATCAGTAGCCCTTCTTTTTTTTGTAAGCATGCCAGCACACTTATCAATGCAGTTCAGGATGGCTTTATTGCAATTGGAAAAGAAGTTTCTGGTAAGAATTTAGTGGTGAAATTTGATTTCTTTTCTGGAAAATAAAGTGAGAGGGAAACCAAAACACAAATAACCACTTTCTGTAACATTCCAGTGCTGACATTAAATAGAACTGGTCTGACTTGGTTTGAAAGCTTATGTCAGTTTTGGCTAACAACAAAGTCTGTTGTTTAACACAGTTTCTATTTTAACTGCAATTTTTGTTTAATGTTTTTATTACAAGCTGAACAAAAATATTATGCTGTTTTGTAGATTGTATGCTGAATGTTATATGGAAAGACATAACTGGATATGTAAAAACAGCTATTGAATCAGGTAAAGAGTGATGGTTTTTTAATTTATCATTGCTGACCAGTTAGATGTATTTTAGTTGTGTGGTTTTTGCTGGGGTTTTTTGTGTCTTGGGTTTGTTTGTTTTGGGGTTTGTTTTTTTTTTGGGGGGGTGGGTTTGTTTGGGTTTTTTTTGTGTTTTGGGGGGTTATTTTTAAGACTAGACCTGAAGTAGTATTTGCTTCATTGCTGGTAAAACTTAACTTTAAGCATCATCAGTAGTTTTTGAAGCAACAACTGATGCTTTCCATGATGCCTACATCTTTGTGTGACACATACAGAATCATATGCATCTGATCCAGTGAGGCTTATTGGGGAAGGCCCAGCAGGTGTATTACATGTAGCAGTAAGTCAAAAAGCACTTTAACTGCTTCTCTTGCTGAAGAATTCTCTCCATTTCAAAAAAAAAAAAAAATAAACACACCCCATGTCCTCGGTGTAGAGAAATTGAGACATTTAGTGCATTACTCAAACTACTGTAAAGTCTGTTATGTGGCTATGGCTACCTTTTTTTTCTTTAATTAAATTTTCTTTTATAGGATAGTCTCTTCACAGATGTATAGAAGTTATTATTTCCTATTTTTAAAAATTGTTCATTACTCTGTAAAGACTTTGGAAGTCCAGAATATTCTTAATAATGAAGTCTTTTCTATTGAAAGATCTAACTGAAAAGCATAAGAGAAATGAAGTACATGGCTTGGATGAATCCAAAATTTCACAACATTTTTTAGCCTGTCAAAGTCAAGGTTATAAATGATACAAAGGTCTTTCCATTTTACTAATAAAACTTTGGGGTTTTTTATTCAGACTTTTCAGTTTCAGTCATGCTGTTATTCAGAGCAGAGACTTGGTATCCAAATCTATTTAAGTATTTGGTATATGTCTATAAATATACACAGAATTTCTTTATTTTACAGTATATTTCAGCTTTTTACATGATGGTCAGGGTGACCATTACGTTGTTCTGCTCTAATTGTAGATTTGTTTTATTCTAGGCAATAAGAAGGAAAAGCAAGGGTCAGAAATACTGACCATGTTGCTTCAGGCCTTAAAAAACATCGTTAGATCAAATTGTCTTCCTGTGCAGAAAGTACTGGTAAGCTTTTTAAATCTCCTTCCTTTTTTGATGGTCTGGATTCTGGTGGGTAGCAGCTTTTGGCATCTAACTTAGGAGAATGGTCTCTTTAAAAGAGAGAATTTTTGGTGTAAACTCCTAAATTATGCAGTTCTCCTCAGACGGCATAGTGTTAAGGGTTCCTTTAATTAAAAGTGTTTTTCAGATTTATCAGTGTTCACAGAAGTGGGTACAGGGTTCTACCAGAACCTTCTGCTTCAAAGGACACTTACTTTCACAATGGATTTTTTTCTTTTTACTAAGGGGAAGCAATTGTTACAATTTTCCTTTTATTTGTGTGTTACTGAAAATATTTGAGCCCTCAGGAGAAAAAAAAAATTATTTACCTTTGTTTTCTTCTTTTCCCCTGTTTAGTCACTCATTGATATTACTGTTAAGGAATTGCCTCCAAAAGTATTGGGATCACCAGCTTATCAGGTTGCTGATATGGATCTTTTAAATGTGAGTCTCGCTTCATTCCAGAACTTTATCTTTCTTTTTAGGCTGAAATGTGTTAGGATGTTGTATTTGCACAAACATACAGAACACTTCTTAAGTTGTTAGATCCAGATCTTCCAGGAACCCATATTACTCCTTGTTGCAGAATCCAGCCCTCTCTTCTGATGAGTAATTTAACCATCTCTAGATAAAAAGGGATATACTGAAAGTACTGTAATAATGAAAGAGGATTTCTCATATTCAGGTCACGATTTAAAATACAAGTTGCAGATACATACTGAAAACCCGTGTTCAGGGGAAATGTTCTGAAGTCAATAGAGTGAAGTACTTTAAGGGAAGGTAGCAAGTGTTGTTCCTCAGAAAAAATTAAATGCACAGAAGCAAAGCAGAGACTGTCATGCTAGACAGCATTATTTCACAAGTTCAGAAGACACAGCAAAATACAGCCTGAATTTACTGGCTGCAGTCTACTGCAGAAAACATGGTGGTATTGATTAGTACCAGTTAGATTAAAAATTTAAAAGGTTGTTTGGAGACTTCAAAGCAGATGATGCTCAGCTCTTCTTCTACATGCACCAGTAGGAGGCAACTTGTTTGTTTTGCAGCAGTGGAGACCAAGCTCTCTAGCCTGTGAAAGTAGCTAAACTTTCACATTGTTGCACAGAATTCATTTGGAGGCTTTTAAAAGCAGACAAGTGTCTGTGAGAGAAGACCTAAGTGTAGCAGAGTAAGTGAATGCTTCAACTCAAGTGAGTAGTGCAAAATTTTGTCTCCCAGAATTGGCTTAAGAGGTCAACTCTCTAAATTCTTCCCAGCATTTTCTCCCCCACGTGTTTTATTTACATTTGGAGGCTTTTGCTGACATAGGTACAAGAATCAGAACTTTATTAAGGTGGTTGAAGCTTTAATTAGCAGGTATTCAATGCATTTTGTTAAATACTTGAACATTAGCAAACCCAAAATACTCGTGACTGATAGATTTTACCAGAGATTGTTCAAAAGATGTAATGCTGAAACCTTGAAATAAGCACATCTCAGGTTGCTCCATCTTGTTCCAGGTGTCATCACCTGCATTGTTTGCATTATGTGCACCTAGGTTATTGCATTGTGTGTAATTTCAAGGCAGTCATGACCAAGTACTATAAAACTAGCAGCCTTTTAAACAGAGAGGTTTTTTGCTTCAACTATAATGTAATTGGCATTTTGCTGAAACACCAGGATCTCAGGTTTCTAATGATCTAAGAAGCTCAGGTTTCCAGCTTTCCCTCTCATTTCTGTTCTGAAGTGTTAGAATTGACAATTTTTGACAATTCTAATAACTCCAAATTTGTGGCTTAGAGTTAAATATAGTGGATAGATAGACATGTCAGTGAAGCACCATTTAATTTGATCAAGGTATGTGTTGTTTTGACCTCTGAAATTTCTCTTACAAGGGAACACCAGCTTTGTTCTTAATCCAGCTGCTCTTCCACGATAACCTCTTGGAATGCTGCGTAACAGATGAGAGGTACAAACTCCCCAAAGTTTAAGATTTTTATAGAAATTTTTCCTAACTTCAGCTGAAAAAAGTATCTTACCTGTTTAACTTTCTTCCCTAGATTCTTTCTAATTCTGGAAACGCTCGTGGGTTATGTTTTGTCTGGGCCTACGTCTCCACTGGCTTTCAGTGAGTCCGTGATCTGCATTATTAATGAGAGTGCAAAGCAAGTGGAAAATAAGGAGCATCTCTGGAGAATGTGGAGTATTGTTGTTAATCCACTAACCGAATGGATTAATCGGGTAATTAATCCTTCCTCTTCCTCCCCCCCCAAAAAAAACCACACAGGGGAACTTTGGGCTGATCTTTTATCTTAATGTATTTTTAGGAATTACATGTCTTGAAGTGATGGTAAAATTACATAAGCCTTGGTAATTAATGTTGTTGAAACTGGAATGTGTGCAGCATTTTTTGTTGTTTTCAAGTCCCTAGCTGGAATGTGAATGTTTGCAGTGAGGTAAGATGAAGGACAGCAGTGGAGTAGTGATCCAAAGTGTGGTTTAAAGTGGTGCCAGTCAGTAAGAATGATCACTCCTAAGTACAGTGTCCAGTAGAGTGTTAGGAATGGGGTTTTTTTCCTCTTTTTAGGATTATAAACATGTTTATAGATGTGCTCTGAGCCTTCTCTCCTTGGCATAGTCTCACTGCTGTAAAGGATAGAAACTCACCCTTCAGGACCTCTTAACTTTTAGAACCTGAGAGACTTGTTTGCTTTATGTGAAAATACAATAAGTACCAAGTTGTGACTTTTAGGACATAATTAGAACAGTGTTTCTTACGAATCATAGAATCCCAGACTCGTTTGGGTTGGAAGGGACCTTAAAGCTCATCCAGTCCCAACCCCCCTGCCAGCAGCAGGGACACCTTCCACTAGACCAGGTTGCTCAAAGCCTCATCCAGCCTGGCCGAGAACACTTCCAGGGAGGAGCAGCCACAGCTTCTCTGGGCAACCTGTTCCAGTGTCTGACCACCCTCACAGTGAAGAACTTCTTCCTAATATCTCATCTAAACCTCCCCTCTTCCAGTTTAAACCCATTTCCCCTTGTTCTGTCATTAACTGCCCTTAACGTTAGGCTTCTTGTTTGGAAGCCCTAAGGAAAGCCATATACACTGTAATATTTCAACAGGTTCTGCAGATGACTTAGGAGAAGGAAGATGACTGTGATGCAGGACTTGAACTATCCTCATGTAGTCATTAGACCTAAAAATCTTAGAATTTATGGAGAAAGTTTTAGGTGCTTTAAGTAGATTGTTGTCATCACTTCCTACAGCTGAAATAAGTAAAAAATCCAGAAGACATTTTCTAATTCATTGGTTTTATTCTTGGAATAAAGTTATTTGGGAATTCAGAAGCAATGCTTTCTGTCTCTTTAAATAGTAGGGTCAGCTTGAACTCTTGAAAGAACTGAGAACAGTTAATTTAAAAATGCCACTGCCAGTTTAGTTTGCACTGATTTTATGTACAAAATAAATCTATTTGGAACATCCTTACTTGTCAGCTAAACCTTGCAGCTTCCTTAACCAAAGAATTGTTTTCTCATTGCAGACTAATGAAGTAAATCAGGGTGATGCACTGGAGCACAACTTCAACGCTGTTTATAGTGCATTGCTGCTACCAGTGTCACACATCTTCCCCAGTCAGGAATTTCCACAGGTAACAGTGAATGCATCATGTTGATTAGAAATTATGTGGGATTTATTAAAAAAAACCTATTAAATACTATCAGATAATCTCAAGAGTTCATTACCAATACGTATATACATTGGACCACTGCTCCACGGTTGGAATTCTTGAGTTAAATAGGTTTTGACAGGAGAAGAAAACTTAAAAGCAAGATTTTTCTCTTTCTGCACAGACATTGATATTTATAAACTTTTTCTTTCTGTTGTTAAAGCCAACTATGAAATCCTTGTTGCGCACTTGGTCAGACCTGTATAGAGCATTTGCTCGCTGTGCCGCTTTAGTGGCAACAGCAGAAGAAAACCTATGCTGTGAAGAACTTTGTGCCAAAATAATATCTGGGCTAGAAGGTGAAACTCCAGTAGTGAGTATAAACCAGTGATATTGAACTATATAAATACTTTAGAGATACATTTTAAATTAGATATAAGAGCTATTGTAAACTCTTAATGTAGTGCTTTCTATAACTTAAAGTGTTTTGGATAAAGCCGTAACAAAATTCTTTTTGCTAACGTGAGTTAGAGTTGAGAAACGGGTTGAAAAAAAGAGAGTAAAAATAATTATAAAGCTTAAATATAAAATAGCAGTTAAGCAGTCTTTGGGTTTGTCTTCTAACTATTGAAGTAATACTGGTTTAGTGAAAATAAATGGTAAATTTGATTTGTCCGGTTGAAATGTGTATGTGTATAAAGTAACTTCAGGTTGAATTAAGAAATACTACAAAAACAGGCATTTTAATTCAGAAGGATAGAGTAGCACTGTAGCATTTGGAGGGCATAACTTGTTATATTCCTGGTACTATGTCAACCTTCTACACTAAAATTTTAAGACTTCAAAGTTTTATAAAAGAGAGAAGTCTTTATCTGTTGTGTGTTGGCAAGCCCACGATATATGGGAAGACAGTGTCTGTAAGTGCCAGTGAACGTTAGCTTTGGAACATAAAATCCTTTGTGCTTTAAAGTTGACTGTCTTGTGGAAAAATACTGTGAAAGGAATAAATAAGAAAGAGATAAGAAAGAAAAATGGAATCTGGAGGATTACATCACTATAACTTCCTTTGGATGCTGCTGTATCCTGATGATGAACTTCAGTTTTCAAAAATCAATAATTATTAAGCAAGCCAAGCTTAAACAATTTAGATCTTCAGTATGGAAGTTGTATTGAAACTAAACTGGTGTTCTAACTCACAACATCGATGTTCCTTTTAAAAGCAAGTTGGGTTGTTTTTATTTAGAAGAATTTGTGATGAATTGAAGGAGTGGGAAACTTGACCGATCTTTTTTGAACATACTGGAAATCGATCGTGCTCCCTGAATGTTCATGACAATGTTCTACCTGTGTTTCTGGAAACCAGGCTTTGCTCAGTAGCTGAAGTTAAGCACATGCTGACATTTGGTAACATGTTTTCCTAGAAAGCTGGTACCTTGAACCTTAATACTTTTGATGCATCTTAAATCTTAACACCTTCTTACAGCTGCCTGTTACTGTTTTGTTTCTTTAGCTTGTATATGTGCTTATGTCTTATTTGTAGAGAAAGGGAAAACTTCAGCTTGTGTGAATGTGCGTATTTTTAAATGTAATTTTATCTGAGTCTCACCTGATAATGCAGACAAATTTCATCCACTTTTAAATTTAAAAGCTGTTGTGTTGTTGTCCTGAACAGACAACATGTTGGTTTGTTTTTCATTGCCGCTCTTTTGGGCTTTGCTGATGACTTCTGTTTCCTCCTCAGATGTTTTCAATGATGGATGGTCTCACCCATATTATATCAGTTATGGTTGACTGCATCAACTTTGCACCGTATGGTACTAAATATCAGCCAAAAAACAGATGTAAGAAAATACTTCAGTATTGTGGGTTTCCTGTGACTTTCTTCCAGTGTTGGTTGAAAATTACAAGTTGTTGTAGATGAAGAAGTGGTGACTGTAGGATATCAATGGTCTGTATATGCTGCATGTACTATTAAGCACAGAAGGAATTGACCAAAAAAAAAAAATCATAAAAAGGAACTAAAAGTATAATCTAATATACATATTGGAGTTTCAGATCTGCTCTGTGTAGTTACTGCAGAGCCTGACAAAGTACTTCTGAAACGGATGTAAACGTTGAGACCACTTTACTTTTCAGTTAACTGTAAAACACTGCTGGTTTGTGAAGTTATATTTGATATTTTGGCTATGATTTCATATTTGTATGTGAAATCTGCTGCTTTTCCTTTCTTCAGATGTAATCTGAAGCAGTTATGCCTGATCATAATCCACAGTCTAATTATATATTACCTGCCTAAAACTGATGAGAAAATATTAGTGTAATATTTGAAAAGCTATGGCTCCCAAAGCTGCTTTGCATGAAATGGTCAAGAATAGGTTAAACAGAATCCAAAAGGTCATTGTGTTTAAAATTTTCTTTGTTCTGTTCCCTGCTGCCAGTTATAGCCCTGAAAGCTGAGGAAATGATTTACAAAGTGAAGCTTTTCATAATTTCTCTGCCCCGTATGAATTTGTGAAAGTAGTAAGACATTGTGTTGGACTGCTGGAAGAATGAAATGCTTTCATTGGAAATGTTGAGGAAAAACGTGCTGGAAGCTTCACTTAAAAATAAATAAATGAACTAAGAAATAAATAAATGAACTAATAAAACTTGATACTTCCCTTTCCCTCCTCCTCACCTATTCCAGAATGTATGTGTATCAGCTAGTATCTCTGGAGTGCTTGCTGTCCTGTTGCAAATAGGCGTTAAAGATACTTAAAAGCATTAAGTATGACCAACCATAAATATAAATAAGAGGAATATCTGTAGCATTATGATAAAATTATGCATTAAAGAATCCCAGAATGGCCTGGATTGGAAAAGCCCTTCAAGCTCATTGAGTCCAACCATGAACCCAACACTGACAAGTCCCCTATGACTAACCCATGTCCCTCAGCACTGTGTCTACACGACTCTTCAATCCCTCCAGGGATGGGGACTCCACCACTGCCCTGGGCAACCCCTTAATTAAAAATTAAGTTTTCTCTGAGGTCTAGTTTCCAAATATTTGTATGTAGATGCAGTTTGTGATTCAACGTTCTGTTCCTCACATAGACAAAGAGTTGAGATGTGTTTTGTTGTAATGCATGTTGATTAGATAGGAAAAAAAAATAATTAATTTTCTTTTTTTTTTAATGTCAGCTCCACAGACACCTACAGATTGGTCTAAGAAGAAAAAGGAACCCCTTGGAAAGCTTGCCTCTCTATTTAAACTCCTGGTGATGTTACTAAACTCTTTCCATGTGTTCAGTTCCAAAGAAATCTGTTCAGAAACATTGGTCTCTGTCGGTCCTTCAGTTATCGCTATTCTCCACAACATCATCAGCCACGTTTCATTGCCTTCAGTGATTGGGACTATGTTTGCAATTTTTTCAAAACCTCTGGCAGTGTTTTATGAAAAAACAAAGTGAGTATTTTAAGAATGGTTGGAAAACTGGATTCATTGTGTGGCTGCACGTGGGTGAAATTCTTTGTGGTCTGTAGCGAGCGGTGTGTTTAAATACAGCCCGAGGTTTTTCAAAGCTTTGCCACTAAGGTGCAAAGAATTTCCAACTCCTGCCCAGTCTGTCACCTTTGAGAGCAGTGTGTATTTGGCTGGATTCAGCCTCGCTGGAAGGCACAGGTGTGTCACAGGTGTGTTACCTGAGAGCCCCCAGCACAGCCTTGCCCTTCCCTGAGTTTCAGTGGGATTCAAAAAGCCTCAGTTGTGAGTAACAGTCTCTGTGGTAATGCTGTTCTTTAGAAATAAAACCAAACCTACCTAGTCATGTGTGAAAGGAAACCTGTGGGACTTCTGAGAGCTTGGTGGTTAAAATGGTTCTCTTCAGAGTGAATGCCTTGTCTAAAGGCAAAACTAAAGCGTTTGGTTTCTACCTGCTCTGTATTTTCACTACAGTCAGGATGTTTATGAACAATAATTTGGTGGGCAGGAACTGCATGACTTTTCGTAGGAAATAGAGAAATCACAATTAGTTGAAGTGCACTAAGGCAGAGGGAAGTGCTGAGAAATACTTGGTTGTTGCTACGTGCTTTATTTTTCACATGTGGCTTTGCTTTTTTTATTCTTTTAATTGTGGTAAGCTTCTCTTCCCTGGGCACGGTGGGATTGTGAGGGGCTTGGTGAGAGGGGGCTGGCAGAGGCTTGTGTCTGAGTAGTTGATGATGCAAGAGATGTACTTGAGATGTGCTCAGGGGAAGGAAAAGAACTGAGTAGAGCTTTGAGTATTTTTGGGAGGAGAGGGGGTCGGATAAGATGCTGCCAGTCAGCCCCTAAATGTTTTCTTGAAGCTTTTACTGAAGCAGGAAGCAGGACTGCTACCACTTATCTAGAATTCATCAGGAGTCCCTGTCTCAGAGGCAAGAATCCACTTGTTGCTGCGTCAGGTTGAGTTGAATGCCACCCCTCTCCATTTCCCATCTCATCTGCCTTTGTTTGAGAGTTGTCTTTCTTAGAATTAGTCATTAAAAGGGACAGGGGAGTGTTGGAGATGTATTTTTTGAAGGGAGGCACATATAAGGAAATACAAGTTTGGGAACCTCTTCAGGTTGGAGGTCACAAGGTTGTAAAATGAATTACCAAGTGCAGTTTTGTCACATTGTTCAGGATGGTGTTCCTAGGGGATTTATTTACATTAAACTACTTAGTTTAGTGGTATTTTGGTTATTTAATGCAGATATTTATGGGGCCTGGGAAATCTGTGTGGGGAGAGAGTTAAGAGGAACACAAGGCAGTTAGTAGTTACTTCATCAGAAAACCTTTAATTTGAAGTTTGTACTGATTACTACTGATTTTCCTCTTAGTTTCTCTTAAAGTTAGTGTGTAAATATCAGTGGGGGCTAAAGGAAAAGCTTACTTGAAACTATTTACATCAGAACATTTTTAATTGCCCAAAGGGAGGCTTGTTTCACACCATTTCATCAATTTTTATACTAAAACTAGTGCGCAGTGCTCGAGAGTGTGTGTGTGTGTGTGTGTGTGTTTGATTCTTACACTTAGGATAAATGAGACAGCAAAATATAACTTTCTGTTGTTTGTTTTGGCAGGCTTGCTGATGCCATTAAAGTCTACAGTAATCTCAACAACAAGGTAAATTTACTAGAGACACGGTTGGGGTTTGGGAAAATGTGTGACACTAGGGTTTTGCCATCCATCCTATATGCTAAAAAAAAGAAAAAAGAAAAAAAAAGAAAAAAAAAGGAGAAAAAAAGAAAAAAAAAGAAAATTAGAAATATAATGAAGGTAGAGATTTAATTTTTAAACAATACATATTTTTACTAAAAAACTAGCTGAAGGGAAGACTACTAAGCGTAGCTTTTCGTATGGTGTGGGGTTTAATCTTGTTTATTCAGTGTAAGGGGAAGGGGAAGATCTCTTACCTTGTAAAGGTAAAGGGAAGACTGATAAGCTTAGCTATTTGTATGGTGTGGGGTTTAATCTTGTTTATTCAGACCGTACTATTCTAGGGGATAATAATGTTTTCAACATTTAAGTAGTGAATATGTGTGATATTTGAATTAAATAAAAACCCTATTGCTTCTTCCCTCCCTCAGCTTGAAAAACTACTGGGCGAGATTCTCCTGTGTTTGCAGTCTCACTGCACCGGCTCTTACGATAGCAAACTGCTAGAGCAGGTTTCACCCTTGCTCTGTGTCGTATTTCAGCACAAGAGCAAACAGATCCGCAACCAGTGTGCCCACTTCTGGAATGCAACCTTTGCAAAGACTACCTCATTAATATATCCTGAAGAATTAAAGTAAGATACATAATTTTTTTTAATATATTTATATATTTTTAAAGGAAGAGATCTCAGTTTATGTACAAATGAGTCGGTATTTTTCTGGTTACCACTTGAGTTCTGCTTTTTCTGCAAGCTGGGATATCTGCTGGTCTTGTTGTCCACCTTCCCTCCCCTCCATAAATTCACATTTCTTTTTTGTTGAGCAGATCTGTGTTAAGCCAAGCCAAAAAGAAAATTCCACTCTTGCTGCCTGGTTTTGAAAGCATTGAGATAGCTGAAGAATACAGCGGCCCATTCTCTGACGTGGTAAATATCTTGCCCCCAGTGGGTGCTTTACTGTGTATAACTCCATGGGGATTGTTTCGAAGGTAGTGGCAAGGCCAGTTTTTATTTTATTTAACTGTGAGTGGCCTGCACTTGCATCATGTTCAGAATGAGAAACTGTGCTGAGCAAACACTGTCAAGACTGAGCAGGTTCTTAACAGTGTTTGTGTTTTAAATCTTGAGTTCTACTAGCTTGTTTGAAATAACTAATTTTTTCAGTCATCCTCTACATCATTTAGAGGAAAATGGAAGCATGGGCAGTTTAATTGTAGAAATGAATACATTTCGGGATGTGTTTGTGAGCTTGGAGTTTCTTCATACAGTGCATTCAGTGTATTTTTATTTGAATAGATGGAAAATTCACAGTTGGATGCGAAGATCAGTGGAATAGACGTAAAGTTGGGTCAAAAACGAGACTCTATATTGGCCCAGACAAGTGAACTAAAAAATGAAGTAAAAGACAAGTCCAGTAACGTGCAAGGAACATCTGCAAAGGTGAGGTGTTTACAGATGGGTGTGACAGAATCAAGTCCATTACGTCCTGCAGCAGAACAGCTAGTGTGCTGCTCTAAATTCTCAGTAAAAATTAATTAATTATGTGATGCTGAAATATATATATATTTTTTTTTTCTTTCTAACTGATGTTTTGTATCACACTTCAATTAAATTTTCATGTTAAAATGTTTTGATAAGCTTACAGATTCCTGAATTTTAAGCAGGGATCATTGAAGGAAGGCTGCTTGATGGGTGGGAGGAGAGGCAGCCAGACACAGAACTCACACCTCGCTCTGGTTGCAGGGTTGGAGTGATTGAGGTGTGGAAGCAGGCTTGTGCTGATTAACCTGCAGACTTGTGCTGATTAACCTGCTGAAAGAGCTGCAGATATTGGAGAACTGTCCGATCAGGGTGGCTGTATCTGAACTATGAAAACATTTTTCAATTCCTCTATTTTGTTTCTCATCCAGCTTTTTAATTTATTTATTTATTTTATCTTTCTGTAGCTGAAACTAGAGTTTTCATCTTCAAAGACTAAAAATGAGATACTTCTGGAAGAGGAGAAATCTGTTGATTTTGTGTTTATTCCTCCAGAAACAAAAGCAAGAATACTGACAGAACATCAAAAAGAAGTGCTTAGGTCAAAGAGGTCTGTAATGTGTTGTGTGTAAATGTGATGTGAAATGTCACCCTGTTGAGTATGTCAGGTTGCCATAACTTCCATTCCTGTATCTCAGACTGCTATACATAATTAAATCTTACTCTTCTTACAAGTTATAAAGTTTAAAGCTAACAAAAGTTCTTTGCTTGACTGTTGTAAAGCAACCAAATTATTCTCTGATCTATTTTGATTAAATTAGTTTAATAAAAAGTTAAAAAAATAAAATAAAAGATAAAAAGTTTCCTATTTTGATTAAAAATACTCTGTTACCTGTTTGAAGATTTGGAGTTTACATTTTTACCTCCTGACTCATGCATTGAAATGGAAGCCAACATTTTTCTTAAATCATTGAAATGAAAAAGTTTTCTCAGCTGATCTGAAGGAGGACTTCTAACTTTGACGAGAAGTCTAATGTCAGCAGCTTATCAGAAATTGGGATATTCCCAAAACCAATCTTAATTGCAAGGGAATCTTTAGAATTATCTTCTCTTTTTATGTGAGGAAATTAAATTTTCTGTACGTGGGCAGCTACCAGAGCTGTTCACAAAAAGGCAGTGTGAGCAAAATCCGTGTACAGTGGTGCTGGATGGGAACTCAGCTAGATTATATCGTTATCATGTGTTGGTGAATTCTTTGCAGAGTGGCCTCCCAATCAAACTTGCCATTTCTGGGTTTGTTTCAGAGTTGGTATTCCTGTTATGTACAACAATTTGGACACGTCGCAAGATAATACCTTATTTTCCCAGTATACTCAAAGCCAGGAAGATTCCTTGTGAGTAGTTGTGGCCAGTATATACATTAAAGCTGTCCCCCTTTTCTGCTCCAATTCTAATTGAAGTAACTTCTATTTTAGGGAAAAACCATCTATAAAAGAAAATGCAAAAGAAGACACTAAAAACAAGCCTGAGGTAATTTCTCATTGTCTAATGGTAATTAAGATGTCAGAGTTATAACCATACCGGTGATGTTTTCTTCATATTAATAGCTCTGGTAATTAGTGGCACAACTCTCTGATTACTGGCCATGATATGGTTTTAAGATGGATTTGGAAACGCTTCAAGCAAATAAATGTACCCCCAAATGTATCAGTTCACAGGAATAATTTCCTTTCTCTGTATTGATTGACCTCTAGGACTCTTGAGAATATCTTGGTTTTCCTCTATATTTCCACATCTGAATAATACTGACACAGGTTCCGTGAATCTAGAATTGAATGAAAGGTGTGAAGTCAGGATTTTTTCAGAGGTGAAGTCAGGATTTTTTCAGAGGTGAAGTCAGGATTTTTTCAGAGGTGAAGTCAGGATTTTTTCAGAGGTGAATTCAGGATTTTTTCAGAGGTGAATTCAGGATTTTTTCAGAGGTGAAGTCAGGATTTTTTCAGAGGTGAATTTAATACCGTTGCAGTGTTCTTTGTGCTGTCTTCTGCTTTATATAGTTCACACTAGAAAGGGCCAATCATGAAGCATTAATGATGACTTAATAATACATACCTAATACACACTTAATAATACATACTTAATACACACTTAATAATACATACTTAATAATACACATTTCTTGTGTGTATATTCTACCTCTGACTGATACTTTATTGAGATAAAAATACCCAGAAGCTGTAGCACAGACTTGCAGTGACTTGCTGTGGTGCTGTCCTCAGAACTGTTTAATTGCCCAGCTTCATGGTACCACTGCTGAGTTATTTTCCATAACACTTTCCCCCTCCCCACCCCTTCCCCCCCCCCCCCAGCAGATGCATTTGATCTGCATCCTGCTTTTCTGGAACTGTTTTCACTTTTAAAAAGTCTTAATGTTGATTTCTTACTCTAGTGGACCATGCTTTTAAACAGCCTGGCTATGTTACCACATTCTGAACTGCTGTTGGATGGAACTGTAAGGGCTTGAGGTGGGTTAAATAGTAGATTTGAGGAAGAAAAAAAAATATATATTATAAATCCTAAATATAGATCTGTTCTGTTTTGGAGAGGAGTTGACCAACCAGTTAACTTGATCCACTGTAGTGCCGAACAGACAGTAGGTAAAACACAGCAGAATTTTTTCATAAAAACTGTTTTAGTTGTAGGTTTATTAATATCTCTGGCAAAACTTAAATAAAATGTTTTGCAGTTCTTTGTTTTGGGATTAAATTACTTTAAAAAAAAATAAAAAAAATCTTTGTGTCTTATAACTACCAAAGGACAGGTAAGAAAATAATTTGAAGGAAGGGTAGTTTGAAAAACTTTGTGGATGTTTTATTTTCTATTCCACCAGAGCTGGTTTGTTTGTTTATATTATATTTGGATGCTCCTCCCTGGAAGTGTTCTCGGCCAGGTTGGATGAGGCTTTGAGCAACCTGGTCTAGTGGAAGGTGTCCCTGCTGCTGGCAGGGGGGTTGGGACTGGATGAGCTTTAAGGTCCCTTCCACCCCAAACCAGTCTATGATTTATAGCAAAACTCTAATACTTTGCTGTTCATGTTTTTGGGACAGGAAGAAAATGCAGAGAGTGAAGGATGCACCAAGAAATCTGGTGAAATCACAGAGGACTGCAAATCAGCTAATCATCTTGGGAATGCTGCCAGTGTGAAAAAGTCACCTGTTAGCCACGCAGAGAACTCGACTTTAAACAGTGAGGGAGAGTCAAGAAGGGACACAGATGAAGAGATGCTGGAGGAGCCATCAGTTGCAGAGGGATTAGAAAAAAGCCCTGGGGAAACAGCTTCAAAAGAGCCCTTAGTAGGGAATGAGAACACTTCAAACGTCAGCAACAGTTCAACCTCAAGTGACATAATTTCTGGAACGCCGCAGCCCGCGAGCCGGCGGCAATCTTTTATCACTTTGGAGAAATTTGACAGCTCAGGGAACAGACCCTTCAGCCTCTCGCCACTGCACAGTTTATCAGAGATGTCTGGAACTCCTTCTGTGGCAGATAAAAAACAGGAAAACACAAATATAGGCAAGACTAGTGCTAAACCAGAAAAATCTGCAGAAGAAAATAAAAAGTCTCTGAAGTCTGAGCCAGAACAAATATTTACTGCGATCCGAAGGCTGACTCGCAGGCAGAGCAGGATGGAGCACCAGGGGCGTAAGCATTCCAGGTTGTCAGTTAGGTCAGAGCAAGAGAGAAGCACCCAGGAATCTCTTGCTTACAGCAGCATGGAAAACAGTCGTGAACTGTGTTCTACGGTAGAAGAGATGGAACATGTTCTCCTTGCTCATTCCCAAGCTCTCCATTCTACAGAAGTAGAAATTAAAAAAGCTGAAGATATGATAGCAGAAACAGAAAAGGCCCAGGTATTGGATACAGACTCTAAAGAAAATACACCCCCCGAGGCGACCCCGTCGTCTGAGCAGGTCACAGGTGATGACAGTCAGCTTCCACTCGTGTCTCCTCATCAGAAAACACTAAGACGTTCTTACAGACTACGTTCAGAAACTCTAGAAGGTACAGCAGATAGTCAAGATAAAGATGATGGCTGCCAAAAGAGAGAGACATGTAAAGAAGATGAAAAATCTGAGCAAAAGGAGATGGTGGAGGCTACAGATGATGTATCCCTAAAGGAGAATGTGGTTTCTGGGAAAAGCACAGAAAATACCAATGAAAAGGAAAGCAGCCTACCTGAGAGATCTGCTGCAGAGGACTTCAGCTCCAAGGAGTCTCCTGCTTTAAGGGACCTTGATGAGGAAGTGACCAAAAGTGCTAAGAGGGCAGAAGATAACTTGAGGATTGACGCAGAAGGTCAAGACTGTAGCTCGAGTTCAGTTGTCCAGAAGATTGAACGTCCACGGTACCACACAAGAAGATCTTCACAAGGATTGCTTTCCAGCATAGAAAACTCGGAGGCTGATGGCTCTGAGACCAAGGAAGAAAGCACAAAGAAGAAAAAATATGCAAAAGTGAAAAATAGAAGTGATTCTCTTGAAGGTAAATTGAAAGATCAACAGTTGGGAAGCCACAGCCATGAGGTGTCTTCCCAAGGAAACGAAACTAAGGATGTGTTGGAAGGAAATAAAGGTGAACTGAGCCATGAAGTCAGCACAGATGCTGCATCGACATCTGAACCGTGTGACCTGGCAAACCAAGTAATTCCTACAGACAGTAGCAAAGCTGTGGGATCAGCCAGCTCAGAGAATCCACCTGACACACGGAGCACGAATACAGAACAAAACAAGGGCCATACCTTGATGGAGTTGTTCACCAGCCCCTGTGTGTCTGATCAAGATTCAAAAGCAGCAGAAGAAAATAAACACCTTGAGAAGCCAACGACCACAGGAGACTCTTCAGCTGTTCTGCCTGAACCCACGCCAGGAGCAAACACTTCAGGTGCTGATCTGTCCTCTGCGCAACTGCCCGAGTGTCAGCACAAAAGAAGTAAAAGGGTGAAAAGATCGAGGAACTGTGATTGCTGTTGTAAAAAGCCAAAGCAGCAACTGACGTCCTTCACTGAATCAAAAAAGGAGAAGGCTCCTGAACTGAACCAGCCCCAAACCACCCCAGTTCAGGCGTCTGTAAGTAGATCAGCGATGTCTGGGAGCTCAAATTTTGAGGAGAGCTTGTCCATGGCACCTTGTGCCATGAGCACTCCATTACATCCTCCTAAGGAACCCAGCACCTTTCACTTGGAAGGCAAGAGAACTTCTGAAGATCATCTGCAAGGAAATGGTGCTGTAGTGGGGGTGGATCTAGAGAATCCAGAGTGTCCAGCTGCTGAAATCACTGGCTCCATGGTGGAAATGAAAGAACCTGCTGATCAGAACAACCAAACTGAAGAGTTTCTGTCTGAGCTCGTGTCAGACAAGCCTGGTGACAGCTCTCTGGCTGCAGAGGATCAGAGCAAAGAACCAACCACTACAGAAAAAGACGAGATAAGTCAGGATGGACAACTGGAGGAGAAACCTGAGGGACTGGCTGTTGTTATCAAACCTGAGAAAAACGAGATGAATGAGCTAGAAAGCAATTGGGATGGTGAAGAAGCAGTTGAGAACATTGTAGGAGAAACTTGCATTATTCAAGACAGAGAGATAAAGGAGGAATTAGTGGAAACTGAAATTACTGTGCCTGAAAACATGACCATAGACAGAGAAGAAGCAGTAGAAAATAACGGTGTGGAGTCACCCCGAAAGCCAGAAGATGATGGTCTAGCGATAGTTAATGAAAGCCCCAATGGTATGCAGGTGCGCTGCATGTGGTCTCCTTCAGCTTCTCCATCCACCAGTATTTTAAAGAGAGGTTTCAAAAGAAGCCAAGAAGATGATTCCCTGTCCCCTGCTAATAAGGTATCGTGATGTGATTCATTCTGTGATCCTCACGGGTCATTCAGATCATAACTGGGATGTGTAACGGTGTCTGTACTGAGGTGACATCCACATATGTTGAATTATTGACCATTTTGTTTTTCCTTCATCTGAACCTGAAGATTTACCCATTTCTTTTTGTGGTGGACAAGCACCAGTGGGCTTTTGCCTTACAGGGGCTTCGGGTGGGGAGTTTTGTTTTGGAAACAGCACCAAAGTCCAACCTGGTGCCTGGGGGTTGCAGCACAAGCAGTGTTCCTGCAGAACCCCTGTGTACCTAGTCAGGGTCTCACTTTGGGTTTTGAGCAGCTTTTTACAGAAGAAGGAAGAAGTTCTTCACTGTGAGGGTGGTCAGACACTGGAACAGGTTGCCCAAGGAAGTTGTGGATGTCCCCTCCCTGGAAGTGTTGAAGGCCAGGTTGGATGAGGCTTTGAGCAACCTGGTCTAGTGGAAGGTGTCCCTGCTGCTGGCAGGGGGGGTTGGAACTGGATGAGCTTTAAGGTCCCTTCCAACCCAAACCAGTCTGGGATTCTATGAAAACGCATTTATTTTTACAAAATACATTTAATGTTTTCTTTGGTAATAAGGAAACCACTGTTTCTGTCCTGGAGTGAAACATCATCTGTGTCATTCAAGAACTTTAATGACTTTCTTTCCAGCTGAGTACGGCGTGTCGTGGTTTGAGTCCGTACTCTGACAACTCCCTCTCTCTCCAAACAGATTCGTCGCGTCTCTTTTGCAAACCCCATCTATCAAGAAGGACTGGCGGATGACATAGACAGGAGAAGTCCTGTTGTTAGATCCCATTCTTCTTCACCATCCTCCCGAAGTCTGAAAATCTTGTCTAATACCCAGGTGAAGGTAAGTTCTGTTCCTTATCTTCTGTGTGACACAAGGACTCGCGTTTATCTTGGGTCGTGTTCCTTTAGTGTCTGTTGTAGTCACTTGCAAACAGTAGTCAGAGCAGAGGATCGGTGTTTTGCTTGGCTCAGGCTGTTGCTCACTGAAGACAGATGCACTCTGAGGCTTAGGTAGCTAGAATCTTACAATTCACTGAATTCCTCTGGTCCTGAGAGATATTTTTTTCCTCTTTTTTTTTTCTCTATCCAGCATATTACCACTCCAACCAAAGGACTTCTGTCCCCAGGATCTCGTAACCCTAAATTTAAGAGCTCAAAGAAGTGTTTAGTAAGAAGTGCTTTGGTTCATGTCTCTCTTCTTATATTTTTTTTTTTCCTGTATTCAGTTGTGTGATAGTTAATTTAACGATTTTTCTGTATTATTCAAGATTACAGAAATGGCTAAGGAGTCACTGCCGTGCCCCACGGAATGTGTGTATCCCGCCTTGGTTGGCTGCAAAGCACCAGTTGATGTGATTTTACCTCAGATTACATCAAACATATGGTAAGTGGGTTGTTGCTTTTGAAGATCACGCTTTATAGAAACCAAATGCTTGCTGAACCTACAAAACCAAATTTTCTGATGCAAAATGTGGTGACTCAAAGACATCTTTCACCAAATAGTTGTAAAGGAGGGAGGTTGGTTTGGTGGGGGAGACACTTAACTATTTTTGGAATTCAGGAACAGAGAGAGCTTTCTCCAGGTCACCTGGCAGAGCAGAGTGAGCTTCGTGATCCGTGACAAAGGCATTGGAGCTTTCTGTGTATTGAAGGCAAAGTGGGATTTTCATGATCCGAGGGCTGGAGCAGCTCTGCTGTGGGGACAGGCTGAGAGAGTTGGGGCTGTTCAGCCTGGAGAAGAGAAGGCTCCAGGGAGATCTTATAGCGGCCTCCCAGTACCTGAAGGGGCTCCAGGAAGGTGGGGAGGGACTTTTCATAAGGGCAGTTAATGACAAAACAAGGGGAAATGGGTTTAAGCTGAAAGAGGGGAGGTTTAGATGAGATATTAGGAAGAAGTTCTTCACTGTGAGGGTGGTCAGACACTGGAACAGGTTGCCCAGAGAAGCTGTGGCTGCTCCTCCCTGGAAGGGTTGAAGGCCAGGCTGGATGAGGCTTTGAGCAACCTGGTCTAGTGGAAGGTGTCCCTGCTGGTGGCAGGGGGGTTGGGACTGGATGAGCTTTAAGGTCCCTTCCAACCCAAACCAGTCTGGGATTCCATGATTGTGCAGTGGGAACTGCTCAGTGCCTTTTCCAGTGTCCTCGGCTCCTTTTCCTTCACTCTTACCACACAGGAGTGGGCTTTTCTCTGATGGATAGAGGCTAAACTGCAAAGAGGTGAGCTGCTGCGGACAGAACATCAGTTGTCTCTAGTTTTTCATTCAGCTACGTGTGTGTGAATCAGCATTCTTGTAAGATGAATTTCTTCTCCATCATGCCAGGCAGAAAAGACAGGAATTCTGGTGTAATTAAACCATTTTTCTTTCTCTGCTGCAGCGCCAGGGGCTTGGGGCAGCTCATTCGGGCAAAGAACATTAAGACAGTGGGTGACCTGAGTACTCTGACAGCATCAGAGATCAAAACTCTTCCCATCCGCTCTCCCAAAGTTTCCAGTGTTAAAAAAGCTCTTAAAGGATATCATGAGCAACAGGTAAAGTTGGATTTTTAATAGCCAAAAAAGCCAATATTGGCCTGATGACCTGCTGGCAATCCATCGTGAGGAATAGTGAGGGCTTTTTCCTCGTTAGAAACAGCACTTTGAAATGTGACCTCCACCTGTCAGAGTAACAGGGACTGTTAATAATCATTGTGTTTGTTATGAGGTTAAAACAGCATTTAATCTCTTTGTTTGTTTGTTTGTTTGGGGAGGTTTTTTTGTGTTTGGGATTTTTTTGTGTTTGGGATTTTTTTGTGTTTGGGATTTTTTTTGTTGTTGTTTTATTGTGTGTGTGTGTGTGTGTGTTTTGTTGGTGTTTAGGGTTTTGGGGTTTTCTGTAGTTTGAGGGGGTTAGAGTTTTTTGTTTTGTTTTTTCTCTGTAAATGTATTTCTTATCCTCTCCCCAAAAAAAATCTTCAGCTGAAATCTCGAGGATTTGAGGAAATTGCAGTGCTTGAAGATGCAGAAAAGCCCGTAAATAATGTAGAGGATAAATGTCTTTCTGTCGATGAAGAAAAACTTGCAACAGGTACCTACTGCTGGATTTTTGGTTGGGATTTGGATGTTTCTGCTGTTGTTGCTGGTTTCATTCTCTCCACATGGCAGCACTGGACTTTTTTTGAGTGTTAAGAGCTAATATTAGCACATGAGATGGCTGATTGATTTAGCCACTTTCTGAAGCCCCGTAGCAGTGGCTTTTTTAAAACTTGTTCTGTATTTTGAGGGGAAAGATGCAGCTTTTCCCTAAAGGAGCTTGCAGAAGCATGTGAGGAATACATTAGACAGGGCTCCAAGTGCTTCATTTTCTGAATCTCTGTTTAATACCGTGGTAACTGCCGTGGTTCTGGGTGTGCAGGGAAACCAGGAAGGTGAAGCAGAGATTAAAAGTGGTGCCTCATCTGCGGGGGGTGGGACAGGACGGGGACCATCCCCTGGACACATGTTCTGGATTTGGGTGTCTAGATTTTTATTTGAAATCTGTGTGTATTGGCAGTTTGGCCTGGCAGCTCAAACAGGAATCTGTGCTTGTTCTTCCTCTGAGATACTCAAAATATTTGGGTTAACTGGAGAACAAGGGACTCGGGAGTAACTTCTCAGCTGTCCAGTTTAAAAGTTGGATTTTGGGGTAAGGCGCTGGCAGTTCTGAGGGCTGCCTTTGTCAGATGCTCTCGTGTTGTGTGCAGCAAATGCTTTGCAGGCTGCTTGGATGTGTTATTTATGTCCAAAAGCAGCTGGAACATCCTGCTGCAGCCAACTTGTGCTGAGGTTCAGCCCCAGCCCCGCAGGTAGCACTGCCTGACTTCCCTTCCTTTGCAGATCTGATTGAACCCAGTGTCTTGAACACCAATGACCAGCCCACGGCGGATCTCCTGAGCCAGATGAACACTCTTGCTGCTCAGCTGACCTCTGAAGATCTCCACAGCTATTCAGGAAGTCAGCTTCTTGAGATGCAAGAAAAACTTCTTGGCATGATAAACTGTATCATGAAAAACCTGCAGTCCCGCTGGAAATCGCCGCCCCATGAAGGTTCCGATTAGTTGCTTATCGTTTCTGAGTAAGGATAATTTTGTTACAACTGTTTTCCCCAAAACCTGCTTTCCTTTCTGGTGAATTATTCCTTAAACTGTGCAGTTTCGTACTATAGAAGATTTTTTTTAACACCTATATGAGCAAAATGTACTGCGTTGGGGTTGTTTTTCCTGTTTTTGTGTGTGTTTATGTGTGTGTTCTAATTGGTGTGGTTACTTACTCCCAGTTCGAGGTGTCTGTCTCGTGTTGCTATGCATATTTCTTTCAGGTAGCGAAAGAAAACTTGGCTCAAGTTGTGCAATAGCAAAAAGACTGTGAAACCAAACCAACAGAGTAGTTAAATTATTTTTATTTCCAAATCCGAAGTGTTCTTACTGCTGCGGACTCTTACTGGTGGGTAAGAGCTGGATCTGCCGGCTCCGCTCAGCTGCTGCCTCTCCTTGTTTCCTCCCCAGCTACTGACACTGATGGGCAGCGGCTCTTCTCAGCGCTGGTTTATATTGAGGTGACCTGGGCTTCCTTCCTTGCAGCAGCCACAGCCCAGGGACCTGCTGTTTGACATTGGATGGCCTCTATTTTTGTGTGTATTTTTGTAGGGATCACGCTAAGAACAAAACACACCCTCACAGGTGAAGGACTTGGCAAAAAAACTCCTCAGGCTTTTCCCCCCCCCGCCATGTGTTCTTTGTTGGCAGCAATTCTCCTTCTGGGGAGAACATTATTTTCCTTGGGGAAACGAATGGATTTTGACCAGAGATCTTTGTATATTATGTACAGACTTGTGATGGCAAATGTTGGTTAAATAATTTATGATTCTGAGTTTTAATTGCATGGAATGCATTCACTGCTGCTTCTCAGAGACCTTCAGAGAGAGTGTTCTCGGGTTTTACTCTGGAAATCTGATTTGTATATATTGTACTGTAGCTGTCAAAATGGACATTTATGGAAAAGAATCGCTGCGGGTGGTTTTAGAACTTACACATGGGCAAATAAAACAGCAAATAGTTCCCAAACGCGTCCATCTGCCCACGGTTCGGGGGGTTTGGGGTTATTTTTTCCCTGTTTCAGATCCATTCAGCCCTCTCTCTGTGTTACTTTGGATTCACAAAGTTGGGAGGGACTTGGGAAGGTCATTGCTGCTGCCTTAGGGTAGGAGCAGGTCCTCAGGCACGTGGTGGTGTCTTGGCAGCCAGACTCGGAATGCTCTTTGCCCTGTTTGTGCATCTCATGAAGAAAAGGAACAGGCCAGAGAGGTGCTTGGAGCTGGGAGGTGGACAGCACCAGCGAGGAGCTGGCTGGAGGTTTTCTTGCTTTCTTGAAAATGTTATTTTGGTTCCTAAGAGGTTTGTTCAGCTCTTCTCTCTGGTGCCCTGCACAGATACAGATGTTCCTAACACGTCTCAAAAGGGCGTTACCATCTCTGTTTAATCCTGAACCCTGCTCTGAAGGACATTTCCCTTTCAAGGGGGTTGTGTTCACCATGATGTGCTGTGAATTCCCTCTGAACAGAGGCCCTCAGAGATAATGTTGCGACTCCTTCTACTGTTAACTTCATTTTTTTAAATCTTTAGTCTATCTTGGACACACTATACACTGATTTTTATTTTTTCTTTTTAATTTCCATCTTTCTTGGAGGCTGGCTGGTACCAGCTGCTTCAGTAGATGAAACAGATGGATAACCCCTGTGTTCAGCTCTGAAATCATTTGTCCAGCTCATTCACAGGCCCCAGTTTGATTTTGTTGTGGTTGTTGCATCCTCCATCACTTTCCCATCCATCTTCTTTCCCTTTCTCTGAACAAATCCAGTTTGTTGTGAGACTAATTCCTGCTCTTCAGCACGAGTGAAAACACCAAAGGTACTGCAGAATCATCAGCTTTATTTAGTCACTAATTTACAAGGAGTAACAGCTTTTGACCCCAGAACGGTTGCATGAAAAAAAACCACGTGTAAGAGCTCAGCAAGCAGAAGGAGAGGCTTTGGGGTTTGGTGGTGGGGTGTGGGGTGTGGGTTTTGTTGGTTTTTGGGGTTTTTTCCCTCTCTCCTAGCTAAAAGTTAGTTTGAGTTACTACTATAATATTGCTTATATGGAAAAAGAGTGAATATATTCAAATATTTTAGAATAGCCCAGAAAAATACTGTCTTTATGGGAGAATGAATAAAGGAATACTTGGGAGTTTTAGTCTTAAGTAAATGGATAGAATTTCAAGAGATACTGAACTGCAGCACAGTTCTGTCATAATTAAATTAAACATGGAGCTGGTAGGTGGTGTGGAAATGTTTGAAAATCCAGACAATATTTAAAAAAAAAAAAAGGGGGGGGTTTTTTATACTGGATGAAATACAATTGTCTGAGCAGGGCCTACTGCTGTGGTTACAGGTACTGCTCCAAAGTGTTTGAGAGGAGGGTTCAAGGGTATTATGCTCTGCAGTTACTTTTTTTTTTCCACACCATGGTTCATGAGGCACCATCACCCTGGAAGCCAAGGAGGCACCTTGGAAAAAGCATTTTAAACCCTTTCCAAAGGCTCCCAGCTCTGTCTGTGCCACGCAGACAGGCGTTAGGGAAGGATGTGCCTCAGGTTAGACAGCTTCCACGTAGTTGGCGGGCAGCATCCCCGTCTTGCCGGTTCTCTGGACAGTCCCGTACATCCAGCCTTCGTCAATCGCTTGGACGTTCACAATCGTGTCCCCATCCTTGAAGGAAACCTCGTCGGCATCAGCTGCTGTGTAGTCGTACATGGCCCGGTAGGTCTTCTGTTTGTGTTAAGAAAAAAGGAGGGTCAAAAACCAAACCAAGAGAGAGGTTTCTAGCCCTGCTGGCAGAACTGGCAGCCACGGCTCTGGGTGAGAATCAGAAGGTCAGAGCAGGCTGAGGACAAGTTGTGTTTTGACTCATTTCCATACTCTAGAAGTGCTGCTGAGGCCAGGATCTGGCTGCTCTTTCAAATCTCCTGGTTTTGGATCACAAAATCATTCTTCTCAATAACAAAATACTTTAATTACCAAGTATAACCCTACCTGAGGTTAGAGCCTATGTGGTTTAGTGGCACTGAAGCTGACTGAAATGTTTTCAAAGTGTTGGAGCAGTAGGTAGCTCCAGCTGTGACTGAGGTGCAGAGGTGAGGCCGTACATGCCCATTGTATCTACTCTACGGCTCCATCTCAGGAGTAGGAAGGAGTTTAATTTAAAGTTTTCCAGAACAAGTGAGGGTCTGTCCCAATTGCATAGAATCATGGAATCCCAGACTGGGTTGGGGTGGAAGGGACCTTAAAGCTCATCCAGTTCCAACCCCCCTGCCATCAGCAGGGACACCTTCCACTAGACCAGGTTGCTCAAAGCCTCATCCAACCTGGCCTTCAACACTTCCAGGGAGGAGCAGCCACAACTTCCTTGGGCAATCTAATAGATTAGATCTGTTACACCTTCACTTGCTTTTTTTACCAAGCTTCATAATGTGACCAACTCATTCCTGGATTAACATCATCTGCAGGACCATGGAGCATGTGCCATCAGCTGTTGGAGACCTCCAGGGCTGAGCCCCTTTGGTGGGCAGTCGCATTAACTGCTGCAGCACGATGGGGATGGTTTCTATTAACCCAACTGATCAATGTTACTTACACCAGCAGTAGAGGGGTGAGAAGGAACCGAGGACACTGTTGTTTGTTGGGTGGCAACTGAGGACGAGCGTTGTTGCGGTAACTCGATGGTTTTAGCGTGTTTGTAGCCCACTACAAAAGGAAATTATATTTTGTATCATTTATTACAGAAATGAACAGTATTAGAGTCAGTTAGAATAAAGCTCATGGTCAGGAGATGAGTCAAATCTGCCTTTTACCCCCTGAAATACAACTTTAGACTACAACCCTGTTGGGTTCTGTCCATAACTCAACATTTTGCAGTTGTACTTTGTGCTTTTTCCTGGCAAAAGGAATTACTGAACATGAGCCCATTGGCCAGCACGGTCCTGGCAGATGCTCAGGATCCCATTTGTCCTCATATGTGAAGAAGGGTTGTTTGTTCTCCTCCTACCTGTGGCAGTTGTGGTGAAGAAGCCCCCGTTGCTGTAGTAGGACAAATGCTGATCCACACCCTCCGAGGGTTCGGATTTTTCATCCCCCCCGCTGAGGCTCAAGGCGCTGGCAGAGCGGGAGTGCTCCCGGCTGCGGCGCTGGGCTTGGACTGTGGGGAGAGAGGGGCAGGAAACAATTCATGGCTGTGTGTTGTCAGGAGATGCACACGTAATGATACATGTGTATATACACGTGCACATAGAGAGGTTACTCTGTATGTACACATATATAAAAATACATATGTATGTTCCTGTGTACATATTCTGTAACAATACCCAAAGCTTTTTCCCATCGTTACCAGACCCGTAGCAGCTGTGCTTATACGGGGTAGAAAACTGACACTGGTCCCATGCACACTAATCCCAGCATGGCCTGGACTGGAAAAGCCCTTGAAGCTCATGGAGTCCAACCATGAACCCAACACTGACAAGTCCCCTATGACTAACCCATGTCCCTCAGCACTATGTCTACATGACTCTTCAATCCCTCCAGGGATGGGGACTCCACCACTGCCCTGGGCAACCCCTTCCAATGCCTCAGAACCCTTGCAGCAAAGAAATTCTTCCTCACATCCCATCTCAACTGCCCTGGCCACAACTGGAGCCCATTTCCTCTTGTCCTGTCCCTTGCTTCTTGGCGGAATAGACTGACAAGCAGAATTTACTACTGTATTTTACAAAATTAATGGGGAAAAAACCCCATAATTAATCACAGTGTGCTTCTATGATTTCCCAGGGCTTTCTAAAAGCCTGTGGACACCATGCCAAAGTTCTACTCCAAAAGGCACAGTTGTTTCTGCCCTGGTTGTTATTTTTAACAGTCTGAAGTCAGCACATAAGGTGACGCTGGTGTTCCTGCCTAGATAGATTGCCAAGCTGGGCTTTAGCACCCTCAAACCACCAGTTTTACCAGTTGGATTTGCAAAAGTAAAAAAAAAAACATTTTGCACAAACAAATACAGCCCATGGCACATACCAGAGATCATGTGTAAGCTTCTGGACTGAATGTTGTCTTCTGCTGGGTCGTAGTCAAAGACTGACCCTGCATTAGTCCGCCACACACGGAGACCTGTGAAAGAAACAGGATTGTGTGAGGAGAAGCTGCAGCTCAAACAACTTTCCGAGAGCTCGAGCAGCACCTGGCTGTCCTTAACAGGAGTAAAAGCAGATCAGACAGGGCAAGCTGTAGTTCATCGATTTGTATTTCTCAAATCTCTAGCACAGAGAAGGCTTTTTTTTTTTAAAAAAAAAAAGGAATTTATCCACATCAAGTAGTTCTAAAGCGTTTCTCTGATATGCACAGAGGTGAAGTTAAAAATATAAGTGAAGAAATGAAAATCCAGCACGACATTACAGAGTGGGGCAGGGTGAGCGAGGCAGATCACAGCTGGCTTACAGCTGCTATGAGAGAATACTTTCAAAGTGGACTTGGATAAAAAAAACCTCATCTCCAAGTCACAATAAATTTGAGTCGCTATTGCTGACCTGAACTAGAACAATTCCTCAAGGTCAACTCGTGTTTAGTGTAAATGCCATCCTCCAGCTGTTGTAAATCCTTGTTTCTGCTCACCTGTGAGGTTCTCTTGATCCTGGTCCACGCGCTTCCTCTCCATTTCCACCACTCGCCGTTGGATGCCCCTGTAGCTGATGTCGCTGAAGTCCTGCATGTTCTTTTTCACGCGCTCTGTGATGGGGTCAGTAACTACAGGTGTGAAACTACCTTTGGTTTTCTCAAAATCTTCGTGGTATTTCACCTGCAATGTAAAATGGAACGTCTGTTCTCCGTCGCTGAGATGAAGCATATTTTTATTCTCACTTACCTGAGGTGCATTTCTAGCAGAGAGCTGCACTGCTCCTCTCAACTTTGGCTTCCTCCAACCCAAGGAACTATGAGAGAGAGCCTAATCCCCAACATGCCTCTCCTGCAGGCCCTCTTGCCTTTAGCATTTCAGAACCGGGGTAACGAACCTTGGTATCTGTACCTTGTCCTTGAGCTGCTAATCCCAGGGTGTCTCAGGAAAAAGGTTCTTATTTAAATCACTTGCTAAATTAAAAAATACAACAAGAAATGCTCTTACTGTGGAGATGTGTTTCTGGGTCTCTCGGACGCGCCGCATTTCAGGTGTATCCAGCACGTAGGCAGCTTTGCCTTGTACCTGTTTCCGGAAACTATCCGAATAAAGAACCTGCCGGAGGAGAAGAAGGGAGTGAGCACAGGGCACAGAGCTGTGGCGTCGGGAGGAACCAGCTGGGCTGAAGGAACCTGGTGTAGAAGTGGGGGAGGGAAAAAAAAGCAGCAGCTGTGCTGGTGAATAACATTAAAATACAAAGCAAAATTATTTTTCATAATTATATGAATCATAGAATCATGGTTTGGGTTGGAAGGGACCTTAAAGATCATCCAGTTCCAACCCCCATAGGAGACATGGACAGCTCTGGACTTGATCCCAAATGTTCCTTTTCTTAACTGAAAGATCCTGTTTTAACCTTGTCACAACAGGGAGAGCCAATGCAGGAATAGTGTTCTAGGGAATATTTTCATCTCTTTGACACACACCTCGCTGACTTCAATGAAATGACAGAGTGAAACAGATGTCATTAGACCATATTTGTCATCGAAATGCTACAGTTTTTGCTGGGTTTGTAGGGTTTTGGGGTTTTTTTTTTTTGAGTGCTAACAGTTGCATCATCCTTCTGTAAACATCTGTTTGCAGATCATAGAATCATAGAATGGTTTGGGTTAGAAGGGACCTTAAAGCTCATCCAGTCCCAACCCCCCTGCCAGCAGCAGGGACACCTTCCACTAGACCAGGTTGCTCAAAGCCTCATCCAACCTGGCCACAAACACTTCCAGGGAGGAGCAGCCACAGCCTCTCTGGGCAACCTGGATTTATCGAGCAAGCCATGAGTGCATTCATGATCAGAGCTACCTGGTCTGGTTGAAGATGTCCCTGCTCACTGCAGGGGGTTGGACTAGATGGTTCTGAAAGGTCCCTTCCCACCCAAACGGTTTGATGACTCTATGAGTTGTTACATGTATAAACCTTTACAGACTGGGGTATGCCAGGATTGACCTCTGCATTAGCAGGTTAGCAAAGAAGGGCCTGAAGGCAGCACGTCCAGATTTGCCGTGGTTTTATATAGAATGTCAGAAATCTGACTTCAAATCCACTGTTACTGAAGAACAATCAATTTATATGACATCATACAGTATACGAGCAGTAAAACCAGAAGATATTTGCAAGAGACTTGAAAGCAACATGTTACTTGAAATTCAACTGTAGTTTAAAAAAAAACCAACCCCAAACTAAAATAGTTAATCCCACAGAAAGACTCAAGCGGATAATCCCACAGAAGGAGACTCAGTGGCAGCAGAAAACAAAAAGCAAGTATGAAAAGATTTGATTTTAGTGTGGCTATTTCATATTTCCAAACTCAGTAGCTAGCTAGTTACATTAACATCTGGCTCTTCATTTGAGTAAGGATTTCAGGGATTGAAACATCACTTTTTAATATATTTTCATTTATTGGCTGGATAGAACATACCGAGCTGATGTTTTCTTGGTTGCGTTTAGCCCTCTCCATCTCTGGAGTCATCGGTGTCGGAGTTCCTTTTGCCAGGTGTTCCTTGTACAGAACCTACAGGGCACAAAAAGGTGCCCCAAGTCAGGCCGGGATGATTGACAGCTCGTGCTGTGAGTGGTGTTATTGTTTAAGCATACTCATCACTGCAGGGTAGAAAAGATCTTGGGAAATAAAGCACCTAGAAAGTTATTTGCTAGAGCAAAAGGTAAAAATCAAAGGGGGGAATAGGCAAAAATAAGGAAAACTGAGAAAACGAGGCTAAGTTAGAAGTGGAGGTTTTGTTCAGAATGGTTATTTTTGGTAAGAAGTGGATGTCTGTCTTCTTTCAGTACCGAGCTAATGATTTCTTGATTGCGTTTGACTCTCTCCATCTCTGGAGTGTCTGGCGTGGGGGTTGCCTTCCCTAAGCCTTCTTTGTATACAACCTACAGATCACAAAAGTAACTCAGATTCACAAATGTACAGATTAAAACCTGTAATGTTACTGGGTTTAGAGTAAACACCACCCGTTATGAAAGGGGAAAAAGAAAAAAAGTCAGAGGAAAAAAAATAGTATTAAAAAGTTAATTGATAAAAAAAAAAATCTTTTCAGTAAGTACTGTATTTTTAAGAGGTGATTTTCTAAGTTTGAGGGGAAAAAAAAATTAGAGGGTTAAATAAAACCAGGCAAACTTGAGTTGTTAAAATAAAAAGTGCTCAGTCATATCCCCTTTACTTCTTGCAGACAATACCGAGCTAATGTGTTCTTGATTGCGTTTGGCTCTCTCCATCTCTGGAGTGATAGGAGTGGGGGTTGCTCTCCCCAAGTTTTCTTTGTACAACACCTGTGGGATACAGAAAATGTATCCGGTATCTTTAAAACAACCCCAAAAATCAAAAGGGTTTGAATACAAATTATTACTTTGTTACCAAATTTCAAAAAAGTCCCGACTGATTATGCTACACACAAAAACCAAACCCCTGCTGCTGTAAGGAAGGGCAAGGAAAATAAACTGTCAAAGAAAAAGCTTGTTATGTTTTTGGTTAACAAAGAAGGGCTCTATCCAGTTACAACTCTGCTGCTGGCTCTGCAGCCTCAGGGGAGCTGCCTGTGGCCCTTGAGAACTATTTAAGAAATGGTTTATCTGCAGTTTTATCTCTATTTGAAGCAATTTGTGACCTTTTTTGGGAGGGGGGGGGAGAGGTTTTTTTGCCACACCGACACTGGGCAGCCAAATAACGAAGGGTGTCGGGGATGGATGTCTGGTATCACCACACCATGGCACCTACGTGTCTCCCCACTCCATGAGGCCACCTCAAAGCTAGTGCTGACACCCCTCCAGAAAGGAGGGCCTGTGCCTTTGGTGTCATTGTTTAAGGTCCTACGTCCCCTCTCACAGTGATACAGTCTCACCTGGGTCAGAGAGGTGAGAGGTTTTGAGGTGGGGTGGTTGGGTTTCACATTTATTTGGTTTTTTTTGCTAAAGCCAAATACCCCTGAAAAGCCAATGAAAACTTCAACATTAAGCACCGAGATATAAACCTGAATATCTTCACCAAAAAAATGCTAAACTCTTCCTATTGTCTGGATAGAGCCCACAGGTGCACAGCCTGAGTGGTACTGACCTTCTGGATCAGATTGTTAACACTAAAGTAATTTTATTTTAGAAGAGCAATTAATTTGCAGAAACAAATCTCTTTTTTTTTTTTTTTTTTAAATCATAATCAACTTTCAGTAAGTAGTTAGAATGTTACTTTATTAAGATGTAAGCACAAAGAAAAAAAGAAATATATCTATTTTTAAGGTACCGAGCTAATGATTTCTTGATTGCGTTTGACTCTCTCCATCTCTGGAGTGATTGGTGTTGGGGTCACTTTCCCCACATTTTCTTTGTACAAAACCTACAGGATATAAGGGAGTACCCAAATGTCATTAAAATGGCACCACCACAAAAAACAAAAAACCAAAAACAAAACCAAAAACCACACCAAACCAACATCCAAAATAGGTTTTGAGTCATTATCCTTAGGAAGGGTTAGATTTGGGGCACAATGCTGTTCCCAAAAGAAGCAACGGGAGCTTTGCCATTAATCTATTAGGATGCAGAAATGAACCCTGGATGGAATCCACTCTGCATGAAAGCACACTTGTAGGAAGAAAGGGTTAAAAAAAAACAAGTTGCAGAGACACAATATCCACCCAAAAAAGGTCAAAGTCCTGCTTCAGGCAGTGTTAAATAGAAGATGCTCCGATGTGTTTGTCAGCACGGAAGGGAGGAGGTTGATGCTACCTGGCAGATTCATTTTAGAGAGTTAAAAAGCACAGATAACTGAACTGCTGCAGTTACACCCAACACTTCAGCCAGAGCTGTAGGAACTGGTTTCCTGTTCAAAATACCGAGCTAATGATTTCTTGATTGCGTTTGACTCTTTCCATCTCAGGAGTGACAGGGGTTGGGGTTGCTTTCCCTATGTTTTCTTTATACAACACCTATGAGACATAAAGAAAGGAGCCAAAGAAAGCAACAATAAATAAAAAAAACTATCCACAGACAAAATTAAAGCCTAAGGCATTTTTTTCCTTGTATTTATTTCCTCACAGCCTCAGTCTTATATATATTTTTAAAGACAGTAATGAGCAATATTCTACTAGAGAAGCAGGGTTTGGCACGCTGTCTTTTTAACTACAGGATCACTCATAATAAATAGTGTAAGTACCACAAAAATGAGACCACAAAAATACCATATTGAGGGGCTGAGGATGTTATGAATATGTAAATTTTTTTTAAAAAAAAAAAAGAACATCAGCATTGCAGAGAAAACAAGTGGACTTTGTTAAGTGTTTTTAGGATTAGAAGAGGGCATTAAAATTATTCTTAAAAACCAATAAATACTGCAAAAAGTTAAAGTCACCACTGTAAAAAGGCATGAGTAAGGAGGGAATATTCATGTAAGCTGCTTTAGAGCCAGGGTTGGCGTTATTTTGGAACTAGTGTTACAACATCTGTTTATTAAAACTGTTAAAATGTTCTTTTAATTAGGATTAAAGGGAAGTTTGGTTTTTTTTTTTCTCTTAGCAAAGTACCGAGCTACAGATTTCTTGATTGCGTTTGACCCTCTCCATCTCTGGAGTGACAGGAGTGGGGGTTCCAGTCCCCACGCTCTCTTTGTACAACACCTGTGTAATAACAAGAAGCAGCCAAAAAACAACCATAATCACAACTGAATAATAATTATATCCAACATAAAGGCAAATATTTGAGTCTGCTGGAGCTCTAACGTGCCCTAAAAGCTGCCCCTGGAAGCAATGAAGACTGGATTGCACCCGTGGGGGTCTGAAGGCAAAGAGCTCTGTGATTTTTATCTTAGCAGGTGAGACAAATCCAACACAGAAGCCTCTCACATCAAACATTTTCATAGTAGAAGGGAGATTTTAGACTCTGGTTGAAGCCTGCTGGAAAGGCAAACCCTCCCCGCATCTGTGATAACAACATTAAAACAGGAAACCAATAGGATTTAAAAAAAAACCAAAACCAAACCCAAACAACAAAAAAACAACCAAAAAACCCCACACACAGAAAAAGGAAGATGAAACAGGGAGCAAAATAGTTAAAAATATTTAAGGTAATGTAAATAATTAAATACATGAAGAAGTGGTGGGTCAGTAACGTGGAAAATATAGTACAGTGAGGAAGAAAGGGTTTTTAAGTTTTTATAAGTAGATTATATGGAAGGAAGGAGTGGAATTGTTCATTTTTAACAAAGGTTAAAAAGTTCTGTTTAAGTGGAGTTAAAGGGAATACTTCTTTTCCTCCACAAAATACCGAGCTAATGTGTTCTTGATTGCGTTTGACTCTCTCAACCTCAGGAGTAACAGGGGTTGGGGTTCCTGTCCCCAGATCCTCTTTGTACAACACCTGTGGGGTAACATTATGTTAAAAAAAAAGAAGAAAAGAGGAACAAGCACACAACAGTGACATGGAGCTTTGCTGAAACAGTCTGAATGGTTTTCAAAGCTGCTCTGAGCCAAAGCTTGGAATAAAAGAGAAAAATTAAAATGCTCCTCAAAACCAGACAGCTAAACACGAAGACTCTGCAATGCCTGTTGGCAGAACGCTGGAAGAGCTTCTCAGGAGCTGTATCAAAAACACTGCGCAACAGTAGAGGGGTTAAAACTTCCTAAGGGCAGAAAATATCAAATACAACACAAAAGGAACAAAGAAATCAACTCTGGTTCGTTTACCCATTTCCATAACCACCACAGCAGGTGAGTATTAGAGCACTGTTACACCAAGGTCACAGCCACAGATTCGTATCAGGTGCTGGATAGTTTAGTTCTCATATATAAAGTAAGTGAAATCAAGGGGAAAAAAAGCCCAAAAAACACCACACAAAACAAAATTCAGGATGGTTGTGAGCAAGAAAAGGAAAACAGGGTGGGTTTTAAGAGCAAAAAAAATTAAAAATATAATCAGACTTGAAAGGTGGAATTAAAAGTTATTATTAAGATGTAATTAAAAAAAAGAGGAACAAGAAGGATGTAAGTAACAATTATGGAGGAAAAAAATCCCAAAGGGATCGGGATATCACTTTTTATGTAAGTTGATTATATAGGAACAGGAAATTTTTTTTTTATATGTTAAAAGTCTTTTAAAATAGATTAAAAGGAAATTTTTTGCTTTTCAAATTTAAAAAAAATACCGAGCTAAAGTTTTCTTGATTATAGGAATAAGAAAAAATTTTTTGTATGTTAAAATTCTTTTAAAATAGATTAAAAGGGAATTTTTTGCTTTTCAAATGAAAAAAATACCGAGCTAAAGTTTTCTTGATTGCGTTTGACTCTTTCAATCTCAGGAGTGACAGGGGTTGGGGTTCCTGTCCCCACATCCTCTTTGTACAACACCTGTGGGGTAACATTATATTAAAAAAAGAAAAAAAGGAAGAAGTGCACAACAGTAACACTGAATTTGCTGAGACAGAGGGTTGAGAACATGAGGGTTGTTTTTCTGAGGTGCCCTGAATAGACGTAGGGATTTAAAAATCCATATAAATAAAAAAATAGTTTAAAACTCTGAAGATAAACACTAATACATTGGTATGACTTCCACCAAAATGCTCGAATATCTTCCTGATTTGCTTAAGTGCTTCTCAAGGTGGACACTTAAAACTGGTATTTAGAAGATTAAAGTCTTATATAAATTATAATGAAGTGTATTATTGTCCCTTCACTATCAGTGAGGTCAACATTTTCCTGACCGTACTTGAGTCACTGGAGGACCAAGTGGAAGTTCCTGGAAGTTGTTCTGTATGCACACACCTCAACAAAGTGTTCTCTATTCCCTGAATGAGGCACTGCTCACTGTCCAGAGCTCATCACCAGAGAACCGAGCTTGCTTATGGCAGGAAGGGACAGAACCGTGATCAGAATCATCGCATGTTGTGAGCTGGAAGGGACCCACAAGGACCATGGAGTCCAACTGCTGTCCCTGCACAGGACAATCCCAACATTCACACCATGTCCCTGAGGGCCTTGGCCAAATGCTGCTGGAATCTTGTCAGCCTTGGTGCCATGAGCACCTCCCTGGGGAGCCTGTTCCAGTGCTCCACCACCCTCTGCCTCAAGAACCTTTTCCTCATGGCCAACCTCACCCTCCCCTGCCACATCTTCCTGCCATTTCCTCTGCTCCTATAAAGGCATATGTGTGAAAAGGGAATCTGAGAAACAATTGCTTGTGCTCTCTTATCTCAGGTGACACCTTCCTCACCCCGAGAAACATCCTCATGCTACTCATTTATTTTTTATTTATTTTTTTCCCCTGCAAACCTGTGCTTCCAACATATCTAGAGCCATTTACTCCAGCTGGAGATTTGGGCCATTGTCTCTGTGAAACAATATTAAAGATTTCCTAAAGGAAAAAGGCATCAAACACAATGCAGGAGGACTAAAGAAATAAATTCTGTTTGGTTTCTCCATTCCATAAACAGCACAGCATGTTACACTGGCATCTCTCAGAGCACTGTTACAATGAGGTCATGGCCACAGATTTCTATCAGGCAATAAAGAGTTTAGTTTTTATATGCGATAAAACCAAGGTAAAAAAAACCAACAACAACCAAGGATTGAAGTGATTAACAAAGGAAAAGCAGATATTAAAGAAAAAATACGTTGAAGGTCAAAAGAAAGATGGGAACAGGGAATCTAAAAGTTCTGATTAGTAAGAGGATCTAATCAAAACAAAGCAAGTAACAATTATGGAGGAAAAAATGTCAAAACACAGGGAACAGGATATTCTTTTTTGTGTAAATTGATTACAGGGAAATACAAGAGTATTTTTCTGGTGTTAAAATTATTTTTAAATAGGTTAAAAGGGAAATGACTGCTTTTCAAATTAAAAAAAAATACCGAGCTAAAGTTTTCTTGATTGCGTTTGACTCTTTCGATCTCGGGAGTGACAGGGGTTGGGGTTCCTGTCCCCACATCCTCTTTGTACAACACCTATATGGTAACATGGGGGTTGAAAAAAAGTTAGGAACAAAAAAAATACTGGATGTGAAGGAGGTCACACATTTAATTATTATGCCCACTAAATCTACTAGAAAGCAGGAAAAATTAGGAAGTATAAAACAGTTAACAGTGGTGATAAATTCAGAGGAAGTCTTGTGAGAGCTAGAAATATTGCGTTCTTGTATGTGCTTCAACAGAAAAATAAAGCATAAAAGGAATGGAATTAAGCAAATAAAAAACCTATTTTTAAAAAAATGCAACATACTTTAAGCTTCACAAAAAAAAAAAAAGCTTTAAAGGACAAGAAGCATCAAGTGTTATGATTATAAAAAAAATCTTTAAAAAAATAAGCACATAAACAACTAACAATGACTAAAAATCTTAATAGCAGAAAGGGGATGTTTCTATGTTTATAAGTTAATTAGATAGAGTAGAAAATTTACAGGTGTTAAGTAGTTAAAGGGAACTTTTTTTCTTAAATGACAAAAAAAATACCGAGCTAAAGTTCTCTTGATTGCGTTTGACCCTCTCCATCTCGGGAGTTACAGGTACTGGGGTTCCAATCCCCAGCCCCTCTTTGTACAACACCTGTGTGGCAACAGGGAAGCATTACAGAAAAAAAAACAAAAACAAAAAAGAAAGGAGAGGAAAGGAAAGAGGAGGACAGGGAGGAGAGAGAGAGAAGACAAGTAATTTAATATTGTGAAATGTCAAAGTATGACAAATCGAGTCTTGGCAAAAAATGAATGAAAAAAAAAAGAATGAAAATAATCAGCTAATACTCCTGGGAGGTTTGTTGTCATCTCACCTGGGTGCACACAAGTAATGCCAGCAAGAACTGCAGGAGTGTTTTGTGCCAATCATACCTTCAGCCAAGTTACCTGAAAACTCTTTCCAACTACTCAAACAAAAGATCCTGCATGAGCAGCTTTGCCTCTAAGATTTCTAAACAGGCTCAGCAGCAGAAGAGAGCTGCGATGACCTCCAAGACAATTACATCCAGCAAAACATTTGTTAAACAACAGTGGCTTCTCCAAACCGTCCTATTAACCTCAAGTCAGGACTGAATTTCATATCTCTCATGTCTGAACTGGGTCAGAATGAGTCAAAATGAGTTGTAAGCTGCTCTAATTAAAACAGAAATACAGAACAAAATTATGACATAACTAACGCTCATTTGACTGGAATGTGTTAGGAGTAGAAACAATCTGGAGAGAAATTCATCACTACAATAATTTTTCCTTCTATATACAATATTAATCATGTTTTTCATATTGCCATGATGTGGGGATGCCACCCAGGTTTTCTCACAAAGACCTGTGGGATATAAGAAAGCACCCAACACAGCAAACCCAGGAGAAGAGAGGGCACACGCTAGTGGCGTTAGGTGGCTTTGCTTCAGGAAGCGTTAAGAGTTCATGTTCCATTTCTAGTGCAACCAGGGGGGTGAGTCTGAAGACTGTTAGAAGGATGGACTTTGTTATTGAGGAGGAGAGTGACAGCACTCAGACTTCTGTTACTTCATTGGGAAGGAAAATAAGGTGCTGCTGAACTGCTTTCCGTACATGAGGTTAAAATCTCACAGCTGGAACAATTTCATGACCATTAAGTTAGACTGAGTGAAAAATTAAAATATAAGGATACTGAGAGGGTTTTAGTGATTTGATTAAGAAAGGGTTGTTCAAAGTTCAGCAAAGAATTGAGAGAATATATTTAATATGGAGGAGTTAAAGGGATTTGGTTTGCATTTGAAATGGTAGGGTTTGGTTTATTTAGCAATACCGAGCTAACGTTCTCTTGATTGCGTTTGACTCTCTCCATCTCAGGAGTAACCGGTGTTGGGGTGCCGGTCCCTAAGCCCTCTTTGTATAACACCTGTGAGGGACAAGAAAGTTTCCACACACACACAAAAAAAAAGCATTCAACACGGGCAAAAATCATTAAATCTGACTATTTTGTGAGTTATGTTTAGCATCAGGATCACCTTTTAATTAATTTCACACTTGTTCTAGTGGCAAATATTAAGGAAGGGGTTGATGGTTGATTCTGAACGTACATAATTACAGATAGGAGAAGAGAAAGGGTTAAGATAAAAGAAACATGGGGAGAAACACCAAGTTAATTGTCACAGCTTACTTGCAGTTTTGGTTCGTAAAAGAAATGCATGTAAAGTTGTAAATCACCCCAAAAAAAAAGTTAAAGCACAAAAAGGTAGAATATAAATGAGTTAAAAATATTGCCAAGGAAAAGACAGGAGCGTGGTGAGAGTCTAAACCACTGAAGAAAAACAGATTATATGTTAGGGTGTTATGCAAAAATAAGTTGTTATAATTTTTATTATTATTTTTTTTTTAAATACCGAGCTAATGTGTTCTTGATTGCGTTTGACTCTCTCCATTTCTGGAGTGACAGGTGTTGGGATACCTGTCCCTAGGTCCTCTTTGTACAACACCTGCAGAACACAAGCACCCAGCAAGGTGAGAAGATGATATTCCTTCCACAACAACTACAGTACATTTGGATAGATAATTTGACTGGTTCTTAGGTAAATATAACCTGGGATTATATGTAAATATGTGCACCATTTATTTGACTTATTGTGCATCTTTATAAGGACAGTCACCAGCTCAGCAAAATACTCCATGTCTACGTTGAGGGGCTTGAACACATGGAAGTCAATGGAAAACTTCATCGTAGCAGGACACAAGTTCAAATATTCTGCTGACCTGGCATGAAAGGTAGGTATTTGCTTTTCATCTTAGTTTAGGAAAGGTAAAAGTATTACTTTTCAGGCAGTCAGCATTTCTGGAGGTGGTTTTTATGGTGTTAACAAGCAGCTGAACCTTTTATAGACGTTTCATACAAAAATGCTTAGTTGTGGGCTCGATTTCATTTGATCTCTGTGACTATTACTTTGGAACACCACTATTTTACTCTGGTTTAGATTTCTAGCAAGAAAAACAATTGAGTTTCAGTTCTCATATTATTGTGTTTACCTCAACCTGTAATTGTTTGCTTTAAAAAACTACATTTTTCATTAAAAGAGTCGCATAGGAGAGGCCTGGGTTGGTTTAAAACCCAACCATGTAGAAATACATTACAAATGCATTCCCAGTTCTTGTTGCAGCTAGTAAAATGCTTGCAACAAAACAAGCTAACAACAACAACAACAAAATCACTGCTTGATGTCATTGAAACTATTAAAAATACAAAAATAAAGCAATCATAACAAATTATGTAAAAGGTTAGAAAAAAAATGAAGAATAACTTGAAAAAAACACGGCAATTGTGCAAAAGTGAGCTGTAAAACAGCTGAGTATCATAAACAGCTCAAAAGGGAAACAGTACTTGTAAAATCTAGAATGGAAAATCACAAGATGCTCATTATATGGGTGTCTCTGCTCCTCAGCATTGGACAGCAAACATCTGAGGTACCAACCATCACAAGACCATATCCTGCCTCAATTCTGTATGCAGAGATCAAAGTAAAGCAGCAGTGGCTCAAAATCAGGAGAGCATGTTGTGGTGATCAAAATCTACGTTTAACTAGGTATAGGAAGACCCAGGTAGTGTTTCCACTTGTAATTGTCACTAGGTTTTGTGACTACAAAAAAGGTTCCAATTATTTTTTCCAACAAAGTTCTGTTTAGCTGATCCATGTTTTTTAGACTAATGGTAAGAAATCATCTGGGTATTTTTTTGTTTCTAGTTCTGTGTTTAGAAAAGGTCACAGAAGTAATAAAGGGAAGTGGCTGACTGTAATGATTACTGCAAAATTCAGATATTTATACTTTCTGCTGCTGAATAAAGGGATTTAAGAGATCTGTGTTCTCTTTTCAACAAAAAATACCCACAAACTCTACCAAAGGTTGGAACTTGAGCTCTGCATGGGTTATATAGTAAACAGAAAATATCGACCATTACCGAACTGATGTGCTTCTGTGTCTCCTTGACACGCTTCACTTCTGGAAGATCAGGAATTGGAGTTCCTTTTCCAATACTCTCCTTGTACTTAATCTACAAAGGCACAGACATGAGAAAAAAATAAAAGGATTTACACTCAAGCACAGCTGACACGTGTGTGTGTGTGTGTGTGTGTGTGTGTGTGTGTGTGTGTGTAACAAGTTACATGAATAAAGACACATAGGTCATTTCTGCTTTACAAACTCATTCAGATCTCAGGTACTAAATGTATTCTGATAGAAGGAAATCATCAAGGAACCTTCTAGTAGAGATATCTAATAGATAACTCTGCCACACTTCTACAGAGGGCTTTAGCAATACCTCGGCTTAGGGTGAAAAAGTAGAGACTTCTTTGAGTCAGAATTTTTTCAACTGAAGCTGAAAATGTGGGTATCTAATACCTCCCAGGAGCTCAATTTCAGGAAGAACAAACCCTCTGATTTATAACAGCTGAACCATTTCAAGGTTTCTTACACTGAGTTTAAAAAAAAAAAAATTAAAAAATTGTGATATTAAAAATTTAAAATAATTTCTGAAAATTTTAGCCTAAGGACATTGAAATAGGCACCGAGATTCATACGTGGATACATAGAGAGTATTATCCTGCTCTTGCAGAGACTGAAAATTGAAAAGATCCCATTGGCTTCAATGTGAGCAGAGAGCTGCTGTTAAAATTATCCCCATCATCTTTATCTGTCAGGTAACTTCAGCTGTTGTTGATGAAATGTTGCTGTGAATGGCACTTCACTGAAAGGTTTTTCTAAAAACAACTGTAAATACCTTTGCACCTGATACCATTCGGTTTTTCTACCAATGAAAGAAGAATTTTGGATTTTTAAAAATCTATCACATTCAACAAAGGTGAGAGTCACCATATAACATTTTAACAATTACAGTGCTATTTGCATTTCTACTTCAGCATACAAAAAAAAAAAAAAAAAGCGTTACACATAACATTTCACAAATTATGCATGAAACAATCAGGTGAAATTTTAGTAATTCTTATACTAAAATGATGTCAGTATTCAAAAAAAAAAAGCATGGGAAATATTTACAAATTTCAAAAGAAAAGTAATATATATAATTATTCCAATTTTAGAGTGTTACAATTTTTAATCTAATATAAAAGCTTTACAAGACATGCTTAAGTGAGGCTTTTGCCACTGCTTGCCCTGCCATCCTCTCAGACAAACTAAGGAAGCATGGGTTAGATAAGTGCACAGTCAACGGCTGACTGGCCGGGCGCCCAGAGCATTTTGGTCAGTGGCCCAAGGGCCAGTTGGAATCAAGTCACTGGTGGTGCAGCCCAGGGGTCCATACTGGGGCCACTCCTGTTTAACATCCTCATTAACTTGGGTGCAGGGTCACAAAGCCAGTAAGAGACAGGAGCATCTTTGGAGTGAGGAGAGGCTTGGAGAGCTGAGACTCTTCAGCCTGGAGAAGAGCAGGCTCAAGGGGAACTTAGCAGTGTGTATAAATATCCAGTGAGAAGGAATAAAGAGGAGGGAGCTACTCTTCTCAGCAGTGCTCATATAGGACAAGAGGTAATGGCCACTAATTAAAAAAACACAAAATTCAGTCTGAACACAGAATAACACTTTTTTACTATGAAGGTGTTCAGACACTGGAATAGGTTGCCCAGAATGGTTGTAGAGTCTCCATCCTTTGATATATTCAAAACTCAACTGGACATGGTCCTTGGCAACCTGCTTTAGCTGATCCTGCTTGAGCAATGGGGTTGGAGTAGATTTCAAGGCCAGGTTGGATGAGGCTTTGAGCAACCTGATCTAGTGGAAGGTGTCCCTGCTGCTGGCAGGGGGGTTGGAACTGGATGAGCTTTAAGGTCCCTTCCAGCCCAAACCATTCCATGATTCTATGGTCTGAAGAGGACCCTTCCCATCTAAATGATTCTTTGGTTCTGTGCTAAATAAACTGTGTTTAGGATGAGATTAAAAATAACAGCAAGAGTTTTCATGTTTTAGAAATGGGTTGTAAGTAACAAATTGAATGTTAATCATTAGAAAGATTACTGTTTAAGAAACAAGAATAGGCAAATCTGTCAGAAAGTAATCCTTAGTTGGAAGGATTATTGCCAAGCCACTGTTACCAACATTTAAAGAAATAAGAGGGGGGGGAATATATATTATTTCAAGTTGAATTAGCACTGGTAGAGTATTAAAAATCGATTCTTTTGTACCGAGCTGATTGCATCCTGGGTTCGTTTAACTCTCTGCATCTCTGGTGTCTTTTCAATAGTAGTTCCAGTTCCAATATCTTCTTTATATAAAATCTTAATATTTAGAATGAAGACAACAAGGTTAAGCATACAAAACACAATGTTATTTCTCCTAGAGAGTGAATACAGTGATTTGTACACATCAGTGCAGGCTGAAAGCCAACTTGGAGGATCCAGTCACTGCCTGGCTGCAGTCTGTCCTACTACGAGCACTATCTGTGCCAAAAAGGAGCTGATCATTTATCTTTGTAATAATGCATTTTAAGTAGAATATGAAAAAAGAAAATTGTAGGCTAATTTTAGGCCTAAGATTAATATTTGTTCTAATTTGTTCCTTTTGTTTGATTTGCTTTATACAAATGTCTTCCACTTAGTTACCTACTATGCTAATGGTGCTAGTGGCAGAATGATACAGCAGACTTTAGGTACTTCACAGTAACACATGAAGTGTGAAACAAATCAGGCAGACAGGTCACTTGTCACAAAAAGAAGACAGTTGCATCACAGCAAGAATACCCTACTTACATGGTAACAGGACAAAAAAAAGGTGGATACTAGTAATACCAATATAGTACCTAGTAATAACAATTTAAGTACAGGATTGATTGTTTAACTATATCACAGCTACGTATATGTGAAAGAGTGCAATCAGGGCACTCTGCAAAAAAACCCAGTAAATAAAAAGAGGTAGCAAAAATCAGCTCAATCTGCTTAGAATAAAATTAGTTTTGTTTGAAAAAGTTCTTATACACATGTAAGCAGATGAAGAACATAAGTACCTGTAAGGTAAGGGCCAAAAATAGCTATTTTATTAAACATATTAGACTCTGTTTTTTGGCATGAGACTTGAAAACAGAAAATAACCATACCGAGCTGAAATTCTTCTGGTTTTCTTTCACACGCAGCATTTCTGGTGTGTCTTGTACAACTGTAACTTTTCCTTTACTGTTCTGTAGGTCCCACTGATACTGAAGCTGTTGAAAAAGTTAAAGTAAAATGTCAAATATTGAGGCTATGCCATAAAAATTTACCTGTAGAGTTTTCTTTGAAGACAAGAAGAAAAAAATATTGTCAAGACACCTTCTGAGGAGGTAATTTTAACACCACCATTAGTGATATAAAGATGTACCACAGTGTCAAGCATTCTCATTTAAATTAGCAATAGGAGATCCTTACATAAATTGAAAAATCTTGAAAGGTGCCAGATTATATCTAAAACAATTCAGTCTCAACAATGGAAGTTAAAGATTTCAAGTGAGCTTCTGGAGTTCTGCTACTGACCATACAGTCTTGCAGGCAGTTGCAGTGACAACAGGCAATGTCTGTAAGTATAATTCTCTTTTACTTGCAAAGGAATTATCAAAGCATTGCAGCAGAAAGGTTTTTTTCAAGAAAATTACAGAATCATTTTGGTTCCCTGTGTGATGCATAAGCAGGTGCTGCACACCTAGTGGACCTTCAAACAGAAGATTCCTGAGAATATAAAGGCAGCCTAGTTGGGATTAGAGTGAGATATCAGGACCTTATTAAATGAAAAAAAGCTATACATTTTTTATTATTTGACAGTAAAATTATGTAAATATAATATATTTATATATAAAAATATATAAATGAATTATTTACATACGTACTGTGCTAAAGTTCTTTTGATTCTCACGGACTCTCTGCATTTCTGGTGTGTCTGCTACAGGCACATAGTATGGCATGGTCCTTTCTGCATCTTCCTTATACTTTTTCTGACAGAAAATACAAAATATATTCCATTGATACAAAAGCAGTAAGAAGCAATCTGATGTTACTTATTGTTGTGTAACGCCCATCTTTATGGAAATGTGAGTATTCCTGTGTCTGAAATAAATGCAGATTATGCCTCTGTGTAAGATTTATTTTAAAGATTAAGTTATTAAGGAGTAGGAAAATTAAGATAAATCTACTTAAAATTAGCTTTGGTACTGCAAAAGCAACAGAAATTATGGTTTCATTTTATACAGTATTAAAATAAATTAATTTAAATACTGAAATGGAATCTCAGGGTAAAAGGTGTCATATCACAGCTCTAGAGAAATGTGTTTTTCTGGTGTGTCTCCTGAATGTTGTTACAAGTATTTATTTTTTAGGTGCTCCAAATTAGTATTCACTCAAGATTCCCATGTGAACAATGATTAAATTGCTTCACTCAAGATACCTGGCTCGAAAGGTTCTTGACCTGCTGGGCATGAATAATCTCTGGAGTATCCACAACACTGGTGTAGTTGGCTTTCTCCATTTCTGCCAACTGTTTGTATTTGATCTGTTGGGGAAAGCTGAGATTTAGGTGCCTTCATCATATCTTGACAACAATTTTCATTTGGTTTAATCAGAACAAACTGTTAATAAATTTTCCTTTAAAGAAGACAGAGGATGTGGTATATGGGATATTCACACAGACCTGGCTGGCAATGTCAGTGGCATTCTTGGCTCTCACAAAATCTGGTGTCTCCAAAGCCAATTCTGACAGACCTTTTCCTCTGATTTCTAATTCCAAGGCTTTTTTGTACTCTTTCTGCAGGTGAAGACAGCAAATAGATATTTTGTCAGTGTGAATGTAATACCTTTAGCAACTCAGTTTCATGACCACACCATAAAGGAGGAATGCTACTAATATAAATCACAGTTAAACACACAAATGGTATCATTAAAGTGTGTACTTGATGACTTAAATCTTGAGAACAAACAGCCCTACTCCAGCAGTAAATGGAGCACACCACAGGCCAGCTGTATTAAGGTCACTCTTCTTCCTCACACCAGTAATCTTAAAATGTTAGTTCCTTTAGGTGAAGAACAAGAAATAAGAAATTGTACAGAAGAGAAGCAACAGAGTGAACAGTGTATGAAATGCACGTGGTAGTGAAGAGTAGTCACTATCCCTTACCTGATCTGACTATTTCCCACCTATGTTCCTGACAGAAACTGCAAAGCCAGGAAAGAGCTGACTTAAAAGATCAGACTCCCAGTTTTATCCTTAGTCACCCATACACATTCTTTTTTTCTCTCTACTCAACAGTTTCTAGGGATGACAAGTTCCACTAGTGTTCTACAGTCGTAGGTATTTATCAGTTGGAGGCTGTTACATCCATTCAGGAATTTTCCAAATAGCTTTTGACGTACCTCATTCAGGATTTGAGTTGCATTCTTTGCTCTTAACATGTCTGGAGTCTCCTCTAAAGCTGTTAGTCCTTTACCTTTGACTCCTTCCTCCAGATCCTTCTTGTACTCTTTCTGCAGAAGAAAGTAAATGAAAACTGCAAAGCCAGGCTAAAGAGAGCTCTACACTCTATAACTCTGCTGCAAGATTTAGAAGTAAAATAAAATAAAATAAAATAATAAAATAAAATTTCAAAGCTCCAAAAGAGAAAATATTTTTTTAAAAACAATTAAAAATATTGTCTAGGGTTACATAAGAACTACAGCAACAGAATATAGTAATTATTGTTCAAGATAAGATAAACTGCAAAGGCACACACATATACACCCCACTATGGAACAGTTAGGCTGGTGAAGGTAGAAAGGGACAAGGTAAATATTATTACAGTTAACAAACAACAAAATAAATGTCCACAACAAATTAGATCACAACACAAAATCTATGTAACCATGCTCAGTGTGAATGGTTAGGAAAAAGGAAGTGGTGAAGAAGGAGTGCTGCTAAGAATACTTAGTGGAATTATTTATTGGCAGAGGAAATAAGCACAGAATAACCGCTACCTCGCTTGCTATTTTGGTTGCATATTTGACATGTAATAAGGTTGGTGTAATCTCCAAGCCAGTAAGGTTTCTGCCCTTAATGGACTCTTCAAAGTCCTTCTTATATTCTTTCTAATGAGAGTAAGAAGAAGAAGAAAAAAAAAAAGCAAAATAGCAAATATTTATTACATTATTTTTAAGTAGGTGAAAAAGTACTGGGAGGATGGAGCAGCGGTTTGGTATGAATGTCACAATGACATTCTGCTACAGTCAATGCTATGGGCACCTGAAGCAATAAATCCTGTTTTTTGAAACAGCTCATTACTTTCAATGGAAAGATGACCTGACCCTGCTATATTTTTTTTTCCCCCTTTTTCTACTTATTTGCATATGCAGAGAAAACATTCAATGGAATCACTCAAACATCACGACTAACGGCTTTATACAGCTGGTTTGCAGCATGTATAAGCCTTCATCTGTGACAGAACAAGGTTATACTTCAAACAAACAGAAAAGAACTGCTTGAGGAAATAGAATGACAGGTCAGTGAAGAACACAATGACAATAAGAGACAAACAGGAAATAAATGGGTTTCTCAAAAATAGAGTTCTGAGGTGAAAAGAATAGCCAGGGAGCTTTCTGGGGACTGCGATAACTGACACACATGCTATACTCGTGTTGCAGAAGTTTAAGTGAAATATATTTCATATTACCTTTCCTCTAAAGACTCGAAGGCTTGCTTAAGCTTCATTTACTGATAACAAAAAATTACAGATAACATACTCTTCATTGTGACAAGGGAAAGCTTCATGAATTTTAAATGTAGTATTTCATAACCAATAAAGAGAAATGTGATATAGCTATAGTTCTCAGTCTATCAGCGTGCACGAGATCCAAGTACAATTGCCTGCCTAAATCACTGTGAAAGTTTAACCATAAAAAACAGATTTTAAAGTTTTATATTCTCTCGGTACCGCTTTGAACCGTACCTCACTCTGCATGAGCTGAGATTCCTTTGCAGTAAGGTATGTTGGAGTTTCAAAGTCCAACATAGGTTTTCCTTTTTCCTTCTCATACTTTTCTTTGTATTTCACCTGAGAAGAAAAGAAAAAAAAAGTTACCCTCCTAAATAATCAAAGAATCAATTCATTGACTAGTATGTGCCTACTTTGGTCAACAGATCTGTGGTAAAAAGTGAAGTCTAATACAGTTTACCTTCCTGAAATCCGTATTATTGACCATAAAATTTAAAATCAAAGGCCAAGCTTGCAGCAAGAATGTGTGGGCTAAAATTCTACTGATTTATTTCCAGTTGCAGAGAATAAGCAGTGTCAGCTCAGATTTCAAGAATTTACTGATCAGAAGAAAGAAGACAGATAGATAGCTGTAAAAATCTAACTTGGAGGCACTCAAACTGCTCATGGCCCTGGCTGAGTTCAGGCAGTTCACTGTTAATGGATTGCTGGAGTGTTAGCAACAGGGCTTAAAAAGGTGCAGTTTAGCAACTTGCTAACTAATTCTGTGCATGAGTGTCCAGGAAGTAAAATGTCCACAAGGATGAAGATATTCTTGCTTCAAGTTATGGTATCCAGCCTTTAAGAGACCATTTTTCAGACTGCTGCATGAGGTAATGCTTAGCCTTTGGCTGGGACACATCCTGATCTCAAACTGGAGCAACAAGTAGTGACTTAAACTTTAACTAGAAACTGATTAACAACCATCTTCTTACAGTTCTCTGCCATGTAACCTTCTTGCTCTTCCATGCCATGCAGAAGAACAATAACTATGGGCCTTTGTGTTCTAGCAGTAGTTTCTCTCTTGCTGTACAGTTAATAAATACTTGGAATAGAGAGGACTGGAGAGCAAATTAGAGTATTAATTTCTCTGGAATGATTCACCATTTGCTGTATTCCAGAAGGAAAAAATGTCAGATATATTTAATAGCAGCAGTAGGTATTGTTTTGGTTAAAGCCATTTTGGATGCAGACAAAGAATGGCAGAGGTCTCCATTGTATCTCTTGAGGCTAGAATGGATTAAGCAGTTGAAAATATACTGCCAGCCACAAATCTACTTCTTTCAATTTCCAGTTTCTGTGATTACCAAGTATTTTTTCTATAGATAATATCACCTTGATAAATGTATTCTACTGTGTGAAAAGATCTATGTACAACAGACATAAGGAACTTTGAGATCTACCCTGGAATGAAGAAATCACACAGGTATTTTACATGTGTTCTCAACTTGCAAATGTGCAAATATTTCTCATAGACTTTTTACTGAGGTGTGCAGTGTTTATAAAGCAGTTAGGCACAGAGATTGTTATATACTGGAGAATTTGCTAGGATGACACCAGTGATGGAAACTGGTACTCAGTGAGTGGGGTTAATGAGGAAACACATGACCAACTTACGTGGCTCTGGAGTTCTGATGCCTCCCTTAGATGAACCTGTTCAAGATTATCTGGCACCACATGGTAGTGACCCTTACTCTTCTCATATTGCTTCTTGTACTGGTACTGAAGGGAAGGTGTCAAAAATCATCTCAATAAAAAAAAAATTCCCTCAGCAAATTTACTTCTTAGGTCCAATCAAAGCAACACTTCAATGGAACATCAAAGAGAAGTTAGAAATACAAAAAGCAAAACAAAACCAAGAAGTTTAATGCCCAGTATCAGATATCACTTCTGAAGACATGGGTGAACAGTTTTCTTTTTTTGACCATTTTGATTGCAAGAAAGATTTTTGCAAAACCAGGGTTAAAAAAAGAAAAAGGAAAAAGGAAAACACAGTGGATATAGGAAAAGACTTTTTCAGGTAATAATGATTTTTGTCTTTTCTCAGCAAGATTATCAAGTATTTTGTTAGGCAAAGTTTTGTACATCTACAACAGGGGGATGTCAAACAAACATGAAAGGAAAAAAAACAGAGAAAAATAAAATTTTAAATATAGTCAGCAGTCAAGAAAAAAGTAAAAAAAAAAAAGAAGAAGAAAATAGTATTTGTTAGTGTGATGCAATCAGTTAAAATGTAATAAAGAATCAATCCACAAAAAAATTATTAGAGGATTTAAAATATTAGCAGTTCTACAGCTAATAAAGATTCCACTTCCCAGAGGATGAATGTGGCAAAGTTTCTAGTTAACTAGCATCAATTAGCTAGTTAACTAACTTCATTAGAAAGTAGAGGAAGAGATCACTACCAGGTGATGTCCCATGAGTAATAACAGAGGGAGTAATTGTTACAGAGCTAGTTATCAGAAATCAATTCAAAATGGAATCAATAGTAACGGGAAAATCGAATGGATCTGGGATTAGTCATGAGCTTACAGCACTGGCGAGCTGGCTGGTACTCAAGACGTGGTTCATGATCAGCGACTCAGACATGTCTGTGACAGGCTTATGGAGTTTCTTTAAGTCTGCCTTGTATTTCACCTGCAGGTAAGAAAGGACAAACAACATCAGAAAAGGAGACTGGTAATAAAACCTGTGATGTTGAATGTATTAATAACATAATAGAAGGTCTTTGTTAAAGAAATTTGAAATTATTAATTTCCCTGGAGGAAAAGAATAAGTAAACATACCTCACTAGCCATGTTGTGAGCATCTTTCATGGTCTTGTAGATTTTAGCCTCCTTTAAATCATACTTTGGCTTTTTACCCTTCTCTTTGGAAAAATTCTCCTTGTATTTCACCTAAATTAAAAAACAACCAGATATTAAAATTGTTCTTGAGTACTCACTTGTTTGGCTGCAGAAGGCAAAGAGACCCTACTTCAATGCTGATGGTAAGCAGAAGAATGAAGATGTAGTAACTTGAAGGCATCCACTGGAATAAAGACTGTTTTAAAGATAACATGACATGGAAAGAAAATCTACATTTGTACTTACAAAATGCCACTGCAATTTTTCATTCAGTGCACAGGTTACATCTCCTCATTGCAAAAATAACAGACATCATTGTCAAGAGAATTATGTTGACAAAATACAGCTAAACTCTGACCCTCGGAGATGAAGAATTTTTCACTTGATGGAAACCATGCATAGTTAAAAGATGCCCTAATTCACAAAGAGACAAAAACTGACAGAAGTATAAAGAGTATTTAAAAGAACTTTTTGTGTACTTGGAGAAATGTGAGCTTTAAAAACTTCCTCAAGACATACAAGCACTGAAGATGGTAATATATCAAATACTTTGATGTGTACTGTGTAAACATATTGTGTTATATATAAAACAGAGATGAAGAAGGATGGTAATGATCACAAACAGAATAGTGATACAATTAATTACAAGGGATTAGGTTACACAAGAGGCTTAGTAACATTTCCAAGCCACATTGGCATCAGCAAAGTAAACCATAACAATGTAAGACATAATATTCCAGCAGACCCAGGCTGGAGGAACAGAAATGTTGATATGAATGAGAGTTCTGCTAATGACTTAAATGAGGGCAAGTCCTTCATCCATCATGACTTGTCTCATCCCATTGCAGCAGTCACAGCTAAAAGCCAATTCCTCACTATTTCTTGTAAACCTACCAAAGAGACAGTTCCATCGGGAATATTTTGGGTTTATTACTTTTTTTGCTATCAGAGATGCATAAAATTGTTTCAGAAGAGTTACTGAAGAGTGCAAGAAAACCTCAAAGTATTAAAGATTCAGTTCTGGTTTATCTAAATGGATCCCATAGTTACTATGTGTGCTCATCACCATTAGAGTAAATGTCAGTAGAAAAATTCTGAGGGTTTGTCACGTCTTCCCTGTATTCTGTATTCTGCCTGGTCTAGAAACAAGTGAGGCAACATTTCTTTTTGTTTACTAATTCACATTTCCTTAGAGATATTTTATACTAAACAAGCTAGCAACCTTCATCCCTGGTCTAAAGAACAAGAACTGAACAGACATCATCAGTCTTTCTGAAAGAATTCGATCTTGTCCAGGACCAAGATAATACTTATAAAAAACATACAGAAAATAGAGGATTGTGGCTGATGAGGAGAAAGGATTGATGGTTCTTCAGGAAAAAACCTGATCCCCAAGAAATGTTTAAGTGAAAATTGAAATGAAAGAAATAAAATACTGAAGAACTGATAAGTAGTTTGAGGAACAGCTGACTCATGCTAGAGGGGTTTTTATGACAATTACAGAAATGTAAACAGATAATTTTATATTAGTACAAAAAGAAAGATGATTGAATGGAGAATTAAATCATATTCCACAATCCCATTTAACACTTTGAATTCATTGTCATATCCTTCTCCATACAGCACCATATGATTCATGCTGGACACCAACTGTTGCTCTTTCACTTTGCAAAATATGCCAACATTCAGATAAACACGCAATAAAGCAGGCAAATCCACAAATTATATAGCTGCTGTAAGAAAACAAAGAATAGTCACATTTTTGGCAGAAAGGAGTCAATGTTGGTTCTGACCTCAGAACAAAAATTAAAACCAAGCAGAAATATACTAGAATCTGTTAAGCTTTGCAAGCTATGCAACATATGATCAAGATCAGACCATCATGCTGAAGCATTCACTTTTTGTAAGCCCATAAATGTTATTGGAAGATATATGCAAAATTAAAAGCAAGCATGCCAGACAGGCACACAAAATCCAACTAAAAAAAAAAAAGGCAAGTGGATAAACAAACTGGACATAATGCTTTATAAAGAAGTTTATGAGAAGAAATATCTAAGAGAAAAAAAAGTTAAAGATTATGCCAATTATTCTTTGCTCCCTTGCTGCCTCTACAACAGTTAATTTTCCACCAGAACTAAATTAATCTCAGCAAAGCATGTTTATAAGACTACAAGAACCAGGAGCAAAAGCATGGAAAAGAAAGATCTTATTATGACTGAATGGGAATAAATGCAATTTCTTCTTTTTCTTGTAGTTCGGTTTAAGTTGAACTTCTTCAGTTTAAGAATCTTTGGTTCTACTGACAAGATTCTTGGTTTTTCTGACAAAGGGAGTGGCTGACATTCAAACATGCGACAGTTACGTGCAGCAGTCGTGGCTAGACATGGAAAAAGCATAATCCCCCTTTTTTCATTTGGAAATACATGTGCAAAACTGAAATGGCACAGACCTGTCTGCTGCCACTTCAAAAACTGATACGTAGCCATCATTTTTCTGTTTTCCAAAGGTTTGAGATTGCGAGAAATATAAGTCTGTGCCCCCAAATCACTGAAGGGTGCACTTCTCAGAGGCTCTGGGGCTGATGCAGTCATACACTATGCTTCCATTATGTCATTCCAGCACAATGTAAACAAAATAGTTTAAATGAAGTTCAAGGTTGGAATAGTGAAAATGAAATTCTAGTGCGAATGTTATGTGTACAGTATGACTGTTCACTGAAAATTACCAGCACCAGTGTTTGGGTTTGTCATACACACATATTTCCATTTTTTGCACAGTTTCAGGAAAACTATCTCAAGTTTATATGTCTGGTTTTAGGATCTGGGGGTGAAAAAAGGTGATTTTTCACATTGTGTGAGTGCATCGGAATCTTCCATTCAAACACACTGGAAGTTCAAAACCCATTATGAAGGGCACGATAACATTTCAAGCTTCATGTGGTGTTTCTGAAACAGGCAAATTCCCCACCCACTGAATTCCTATGCACTGTCTTTCCAGAGGAAAAAAAGAAGGTCACACCAAACTGAGCAGTCTCACAAGTTTTGCTACATTCAGCACCTTTGATACAAAAAGATCCAGTGCAACTGGTGCATCATAAACCCTTCAACAGCTTGGAATTGTAAGATAATACGCAAGCAAGAGACAGACGCATAAAAATTACATTCCCAGATGTGTCACTTAAAATTATCTTACATGACTACTTAGCATATTAGCTTTCTTAAAGGTTCTCATCCATGGGGTATCATAAGATGCAGCTCCATGCCCTCTCATATGTCGTTTGAGGTATTCTGCCTATAATTTGTAGCAAGAAAGCAAGATCAGAAATGCAAATAATTACAGGATTAAAGCATGAAGTGGTGAGAAAGAACCAAGTTGAACTGAGGTCCTGGTGGAAAAAAAAGTCATAGAAAATAGCAAGCATGTGCTTCAGACTGATCGGAGAATGTGACCATTGGATATAAAAGTAAGCAAGCTTCTGTTAATATAACATATTAACTTCAAACCAGAAGATTCTCTAAAAGCACAAAGTAGAAAGAAAGTGGCTGAAACAGACCGAATGGCCATCTCATAAAGGATGGATAGTAAGAGTTAGGTAAAGGGCTGTTCCTTTTAAAGCCAACACCCAGATAAGCTAAAAAAGATAATATGGGTAACACTTCAGCCTTAGCATTTGAAAGGTCTTGTCATGGCATCATTTTAAGGAGATTCTATACCTCCATCACTGACATTTACTAAGTCAGTAGAAAAGTTTCTTTAAAAAAGAAATACCTTGCAATGGGATTTAACACTTACTTTAACACATTCCCTTTAAAATATTCCCTTATCCTCTAATCTAGAAATAATTTCAGTTATAATATTAGTACTACTCTATAAATTAATATCATGTCTATTTCTCTCACTGCTTCAAAGTTTCACCAAGTGGTTATTATTACCTGGCTAGTTAGCTTGGACACCTCCTTTGCCAGTTCAATATCTGGACGTCCCAGCATGGTTACACCAATACCAGCTTCTCCACGCTTTTTATATTCAATCTAACAAAGAAAAAAAAAATATAGTTTAGAAGTGATGGAATTACCTTTTAATCATTTTACTGACACTGGTTTTAAATTACTGCTAAAGAATTATACAGAAGACTTAATAAACACTTACATCACTAATTAGCTTGGCAGCCTGAGTTGCTTTCTTAATATCTGGCCGATCTGCTATAGGTGTGTAGTGGAGCTTTGACTTGGCATCTTTCTTGTATTCAATCTAATGATGATGATAGACAGAGAAAAGAAAATTACTGAGATTGGTTCATGAGGAATATACCTAATAAGGACACAGCAGTGTTGCCAGGAAAGTGAATGTTCAGGGTTTTTAAAAAATAATTTCACAAGGAAAGAATTTGGGAATCTGTTTTTGCTAGTTGTCTACAAATGAAGAAGTAAACATGTGCAGTTCTGTCTGTATTTGAAGGAATGGAAAAAAAATAATAGATGTGATCTGCACTAGTTTACTTTAAAGCCTACCATGAGATTAAGTAGAAATATGATTTTCAACAAAATCCTTTATTTCAGTGCAATTTTACGTTTGGAAATATCTGCACCTATATCTTTCAGAATTATACCTGAATATGGAGGCTGGGAGGAAATCCAGAAGTATGTGAACTTCTGTTTTTGCCAGCTGACTTCGAATTTGCTTACACAAGCTACTTAACTCAGGAAAAGGGAAGACAAACTTACTGTACTCTGTTTTTTAGCAACTTCCATGGCATGTTTCACTTCGGGAGGCTCCAGCATGACAGAATAATTAGACTTGCCTTTCTCCTTCACAAACTTCTTTTTATAGTTTGTCTGTTAAGGGCAAAAAGAGTTATGTGTGATTTTTTTATTTCATGTGGAGGTAAATGCTACTGAAACTTGAAAATAAGCTCACTGAAACTGCTAAAAAGGATAAAATGCAATCTCCTCAGTTTCCAAATGCATGGTCCCCAGCTTGTTTGTCATAATTTTCACTTTAGATTACAAAAGCTTGCTATTTGTAGATAGTTGCTTGTGTTTAAACTGTGTTCTATGAAAAATAAGGTCTGAAAAAAGAGCACCTGTTAGCACTCCAGCTCATCATTTTTCTCCAGAGTATTTCAAGAGATTCACAATAAATTGTGTTTAGCTCTTTGTTAAAGTCTCATTCTGGTAGGAATTAATCTTTTCTGACTCCTTGGGCATTTTATGATGAAAGTCTACATGTGTTGCATGTATACTAAAATATGCAACAGTGTCACTAATTATAAGCAGCAGGTAACAATCTCACAATAAATTGTTATCACAGTAGTTACATACCTCACTGACATTCTTGGTCACCTCTTTCACATGAGCAGTGTCTAGTGTCTCTGGCAAGGTTGTAAAAGACCCATGAGGAAGCTGCTTCTTGCTTTGTTCTTTGTATTTATTCTGAAAGCACAGAATAAAAACAGATGAGAAACAACAATGCAAGCCCGTCCCTCCCTTCCACCTCCTGATATTAAAAGGATGTACTTAAAATTCACAAATAACTCTCTGGTGTTTTACCTCAGATACAAGAGAGCTGACATTCTTAGCCAGGAGGATCTGAGGTGTATCAGGAACAACATGGTACGTTCCTCGAGCTTTGTTGTGCTTCTCTTTGTATTTTATCTACCAGGAAGAAAATATATCATTATAAACAATGTGTGTGTTGTCTTGTGGCAGTTTAAAAAGAAATTACTTTAGTTGTGCTGGTTTATTAGTGCTAAAGTTTGTGGAAAATCCCATATGTTGATGTTTCCCATGATAAATTCATTCCAGTCGATATATTCCTATAGCTCTCACTTGGAATTTTATTAATATATTGAATACTGAATATTAATATATTGTTAATAATTATTAAAGATACTTTGTCTTATGCACAAGTTACACCCGCACCTTTTTTTGTCTTTTTGCAGAGATATACCCAAAGTCCAGGGTGTTCAGGCAGTGTTAACTTTGAATATTTATTTAATCCATGAACTAGGCCAGTGACATTTACAAGACCAAATTAATTCAGTTTTTGTCAATTTGTTAATTAAATAAACGAGTCAAATCAAATAATGACGCTAGACTGAGAACTTCTCAAAGCTTCATTCTTAATCCAATCATATTTCCAATAAAGTAGTTTATGTACTAAGTAAAGCTCTAGTAGAACAAAAAAAAGCAGGTGTTCAAGTACTTACATCACTCGCCAAGATGGCATTATTTAGGGCCAATACTGTGTTTTTATCGTCTGTGACAGAAAGTTTGCATCCCTTTAGGAATTCCCGGTCCAGTTTATATTCATACTGCAGGAAGAAAAAATAAGGGGTAAAAGAAGAGAGTTTCAAATCTTCTATTTTTTATTTTTTTTTAATGCGAGGAAAGGGAGTATTCAATTTGTTCTCATTTTCTTACATCACTCTGTTGCAGAGATGACTTGGCTGCTTGAACAAAGTCAGGCCTATCAGCAATCCAGTGCCAATGAGCCTTGGCTGCTTCATATTTCTTCTTATAATCCAGCTGAAAGAAAAGAAAAAAAAAGAAGTTAATTGGAAGTTATGTACATCACACATGACATTCCTAGAGATGCAAATTCTCTTTTGGTCTGTATCCATTAATGAGAGAAGAGGTTCATCTACATCGGCCTAGGGCTTTCCCCTGGATCGTGTACAATCCCATGGGAAGCCATTCATTCCAGTTTTTGCACTGCTAGGTGGAGAAAGGAATACGAATGACTGAAAAAATGTCATGACCTTGAAGAAGGTGAATGCTTTCAGTTCCTTGCCTATTGAAGTGGCTGTTGGACCACCAATCATAGAAAACACAGGAGAGCCTCCGATGAAGCACGCACTTTGTCTACAAGAAAGTAATCAGAGAATTTCTGGGACAGTTATGTCTCTGTCAGGAAAACAGAGTGGGACTAGAAGAACAGTAGCTGTGTTATGTACAAGGATCTCAAGTGACCTCAAGGACAACTTGCAAGAGTGAGCACTTTAGTATAAAATAAATGAAAATATATTTTACTCAAGCAGCGTAAGAATTAGAAGCAATGTCCAAGCTCAAAAAAATTCAGTGGAACTGAAAATAATTTATTTTGGTCTCCATTGTCAAACACTATCCATAATGAAATGAAAATATTAAGAAAGCTGAACTCACATTGCTGTTTAGCTTGTAAGCATGCCTTGGAGTCTTAATGTGAACTGAATCTGCTATGACGTTGCAGTTAGATTTATTCCTCTCATACAATTCTTTGTATTTCAGCTAAAGAAAAACAAACATTAAAAAAACGTTTAGAAAGGCAATAGATGATCAACAAGAAAAGCTTCAAAATATGAAAAACATAATATTAAAAATTGTTCCTGTCAAGATAAAATCTTAACACAGGAAAAAGGTCTTATATCAATACAACTTGGTATCAACCATCTGCCTGAAAGAAGGGTCCTCAGCAGGAGCAGTTCTCTTTAAATAGAAAATGTAGCAGGTATAACTCACCACAAAGCACAGACTAAGATTTAACTAAATCTGCACATGAGCAGTAATTCTGCCCCTTTCTAATTTTTTTGCACCTAATAGAAATGCTTTAAAGAAACTTATCTTCTGATAGGTACATTCAATGCTTTCTGAAAATTCCTTTATGGAATCTGAAATTCAGCACTCAGTTTGCAACCGAAAATCTGTACTTCAATTCACAGATCGCTTTTGAACTTCTTTATCTCTTAATGATCCTCACCAGTATCTAGATAATTTGGTTATTTTTTTCCTCCTATGTTTACTCATTATATAGACAATCCATGTAGGAGCTGAATGACTTTTGAGCCACTTTTTCTCACAGTACTACACTGAGTTGCAGAAGTGCTAGCATCCTCATTTTCTAATGGATATCTAAGGAACCACAGCACAAAGGTCAGTGAAAGTCTAGGGTAAGGGAAGGAACTAGGACCAGGACTATCAAATCCTATATATTATTCTATCCATTTCATCTTCCTTTCTCTCTCTTCTTTTTAGCCTTCCATTGCCCCATAATCAAAACACATATTTGTTTTAGATCAGAGTATTTACCTTATATATTCACAATATCCACAGAAGAAGTGAATAAACACAGCAATGTGTTAAGCACCTTATTCAAGGCTCCACAATAATCACTAGCCAATAGAGGAAGAAAACCCAGAAATTAGCTCCCCAAATCCATACTTTAATTAGATAGCAGTTCCAGCTCACAGCTTTTATTACAAGTGAGGGCTGCTTTACTTCAGCAAAAATGTCCCAAGAGCTACAGAAGAACATTGCATATAAAAACTTCCTTAATACGTTCATACGCTATTGTGTTTTTTTGAATAAGTATTAAATACATATGGAGTTTTACATTAAAAAACCCCAATACACTCCAACAAGAAGCTATTTTTTAATGACAGTGTGACATATGAGTTAAAAGTATTGCCTACCAAAGTAAAAGGTTAATTATGTGTCTTTTTGATACCACAGACAAGAATAATTTACTTACGTCGCTTATTCTGTCCTTGACCTTGCGCACATGCAATAACATAGGTGTGTCATGGATGGTAGTGTAGCCTTTAGGCTTTGCTTTGTTATATTCCAACTTGTAAATAATCTGAAGACAAAAATTATAGATTATATTATTTCTTTACATTATTGGCTTCAATTGAAAAAAAAATCAAGATGAGAAATGTTGTATAATGGCCTACGGAAGATGCCATATTAATGATGACATCTCAAAGGTGAGAATTCAGAGGAAGAGGTATGTGTGAAAGGGGCTGACCACACTCACATCACTAATCTGTTTGTTGACTTTTGTAGTCCTTAAGTGTTCTGGAGTATCCACAACCACAGTGTACTTGTCTTTCTTCTTTTCATAGTCCTTTTTGTATTGAACCTGGCGAATGCGAAAGAGTATGTGTTAACCACAGAAATCAAAACAAAACATCTTCAGGAGATATAATTTTATCCACATATAAAATTGCAAAATCCTTCCACCAAAGCCAATGAAAGCTGAACATGCACAAGGAGCTAAACTTTGCAAACCTCTTAGCTGCCTAAGAAGTTGCCTATCTCTGCATGTGATTTATTTTACATTTATTTCACCGAGTGTAAAAGCTTCACTTCTATCATAAATCTCCAAGATTTATGGTAGAATAAAAAAGTTAAAATAGAATAAAAGAGCTAAAAAAGCAATCTGGGCAGATCAGTGATTTTTAAAATTAATAACTGGACAAAGGATCTAAACATACAGGAGAGTGTCCAGAGGAGGGACACAACATTGGGGAAGGGTTTAGAGGGGAAGGGTGTGAGGAGAGGCTGAAGTCACTTGGTTTGTTGAGCCTGGAGAAGAGGAGACTGAGAGGAGATCTCATGGGGGTCTAGAACTTCCTCCCAAGGGGAAGAGGAGGGGCAGGCGCTGATCTCTTCTCTCTGGCCACCAACGAATGCCAGGAGCAGAGGGAATGGCAGGAAGATGTGGCAGGGGAGGGGGAGGTTGGCCATGAGGAAAAGGTTCTTGAGGCAGAGGGTGGTGGAGCACTGGAACAGGCTCCCCAGGGAGGTGCTCATGGCACCAAGGCTGACAAGATTCCAGCAGCATTTGGCCAAGGCCCTCAGGGACATGGTGTGAATGCTGGGATTGTCCTGTGCAGGGACAGGAGTTGGACTCCATGGTCCTTGTGGGTCCTTTCCAGCTCACAACATTCGATGATTCCATGATAATACCTAATTTTTAAATTTTCATCAAATGAAGGGAAACGTAAAATACCTTAAACGGTAGAAGCTAAAAACATCCGCTGAATATATCATAATGCCAGGCTATTTTAAAGGCTTTAATAGCAAAATTTGTATCATGAAAATTTCTTTCTTAAAGATCATCTCGCCCAACTCAGGACTCTAAACCTGTTTTCACAGAATTCAGTGAGAACAGACTGTACACCAAGAATGATAATTCATTGTAGGCAGCCTGAGTGCAGGTGGAAGAGGTTAGAATACATTAAAAAAATTAAAAAAAAAAAAAAAAGAATTTTCATGCTTTATCTTGCTTCAGAAAATAATCCATGCTCTTGAAACAGAACTACAACAGACAAAATATAAAAACTGTATACAAACAACAAATCAGAACATGAAGTCAACACAGAAGAGCATGCAGGTCAGGCGGAGTGCCATTCTTTTTTTACAAACATACTCAAATTTACCTGCAACGAGTTTTTAATGATATAATAGAAATCCACAGAGAAATGAAACAAAAATGACTAGTAAAGACCTCCTGTACCTTATTACTGAAGAATTTTATTTACTGTGTTAATAGTCACAAAGAAGAACACTCCACTCCCTCTCATGTAATTGTTTTCTGCTGTTGCACTTCCAGTTTATAATTAAATGTTATATGCTGGTTTCACCTGGCTCAATCAGGAATCATTTTTACCATTGAAAAGAGTAAGGTTACTGCTAGCAGCTGTGATTTTAGAGCAAAAATAAACATGTATCAGTTATTTAATAAGGCACTTTTTCAGCCAACTGGTACAGACAAAATATATTTGCTGGAATCCAGATTAAATGAAGGTTGAATATGGAAAATAAATTCTTCACAATAATTTCAGAGTCATTACAGGCTTTCTTTTACATCACCAGAAATATAGATGTATCAGGCTTTTTGTTCTGTATGAACAAATAGATGAATCATATTCACTTTCTATCTTTGATTCTTATTAGAACTGGCAAAAAAATACTAGAGTATTTTTTTTAATAGACTGTATTATGTGACTGCATGAGGACTGCTTTGCTAGCCTTGATTAAAAGCAGTAGGTAGAGAAAGAAATTGATGAAAACACAATTTACTACAGACCTGTGCACATGTACCATACCTAAGAGCACTTAGAAGTGAGACATGAATCTGTTGTGTATCTAGGCACAATCTCTGACATCATTCTTGGGCAGAGTGGCAGATAAATGTTCTAATCTACTCGTCAAATTACTTCATCATGTTCAAGCTTGTGTTATAAGGGTTGGTCAGTCCAAGAAATGGTGGCAGAATGAGAATTTGGTTAGGAAAATATCAGGAATAGGTAACATACAATATGTTAATTGTATGGAAAATTGCTCTTTATGTAAGTATGTGAAATATTATATAGAAGTTATTTAGAATGAAAGGAGAAAACAGCCAAGATCAGCCTGAGTTGATTGAAATCCAAGTTACAGTAAATATTGTTTCAGATATTCTGTTTTCAAAGCTATTTTATCAGAGTCAGCATTAAGCACATCAACAAAACTCTGGGGTCTGATATCCATAGAAATTTAGTGAATTCCCGAGCATTGAATATTAGAAGTACAAGCAGCTAATTTGTATAGATATGTTTGTATATATAATGTCTCCTGCAGCAGCAGTTCTAGATATTACCTGGCTCCATAAGTACGTGTTGTAGAGTGCTGTCAGCATATCTGGTCTCAGAATTTCATTACATCCTTGTTGCAGAAGCATCTTGGCAAAGGATTTATACATTTTCTGTTCATGCAAATAGCAACGAAGCACAGAAGAGACTTGTGAACACCATAAACAACAACACAGCTCTAGATCCCAGACACTTTGAGAGTGGAGAGATTTAGGCAAGGTATTGTATGTATTCATTCAGTTGTGCATACAACTTACATCTATATAATTAAGAATGTCAAGGGTATATTTTCAAAGATTTGCATAAGGAAATTGTGAAAATATTTTTTGGGGGATAAGCGTAAATTATAGATTAAGGTGGGGGCACTCAAAAGCCAAATATGTCACTGTTGGTTGAGTAATGAGTAAGAAGATAATGTTTGAAAGGTCATTAACAGAGAGGTAATTAAAAAATAAATTCATGATACAACATGCATTTTTTTAAAAACCTCTCCAATGACCTCAAGATTCTGATGTCTATTGATGCACAATACATGAAAGTACATACAGTAGAGATGAGCTCACTCAAAAAGTAACAACTCTTTTTGGGTGGCAAAACACTGTCTGATCAACTGAACTAAAACATCACAACACCACAGGCGAGCCCTGTGAGGCTGCTAGCTTTAGCCATTTCACATAGACAGAAGAGCTGTGAGTGAACCAGGCACTTGCTGGCAGCACTGGCTAGTGCTCCTACAGTACCTGACTGCTCAGTGTAGTCCCCCACTTGGCCAGGAGGTTCTTAGGATCATCCACAATAACGCTGTACCTATCTTTGAGCTTCTCATAGGCAGCTTTATATAATTTCTGCTCAGAATAGCATAATACAGCGTAACAAATTAAAAGAGAGTGAAGACACAAAGAGATCATCATTCTAACCATTGAAACCTCTTTACATGGACTATTTAAAGGCTGGGGTTGAAGTTCATATCCAAAAGAGAAAAGTATATTAAAAAAAACCCAAACAACAAACCACAGAGAAAATATTTTCAAATAGCATATGCATTTCTAAATTTCCACTGGAAGGCTTAATCTACAGTTTAAAGATGCCTATATTCTATCCCTGCCACTCCTCAATAAGCCATTTTATTACTTACTTTCTTCATGAAAAACAACTGCAGAAGCAACTCTGTATGGAACTAGATTCTTAATTTGAGTACCAAGAGAATACAATGACAAGGGTAAAATACAATGTTATGTTATCATCAGACATTTCATAAGCAAAAACTCTAATCCCTCATCACAAAAAAAATCACATCGTTGAAGAAAAAAGGTATTTAGGCAAGATCATTTAAATGTATGGAGCCCCCATTGCTAAAATTTTACTCATTTATGGTTTTTTAATAATAATTTTTTCCTTATTTGCTCTACCAAACAATAAGAAGACTGACTACTAAAAATCTTATGTAACAAATTCTGGTTCTCTGCTTATCGAATTGAGTATAAAATTACAGCAGTGGTACTGGAATGGTATCTGTTGTGAAACAGTTCTAACTCAGAACAGATAATATTGTAATACATGACAGGTAAACAAATTAACGTAATTTCTAGTGAAAAAGAAGAAAATCTCAAGAGGTGGGAGTCTAAATATACACTGCTTTAATGAAAAGCATGAGTCTGGTGTGGAGTGCCAGCTCTAAGCTGATGAGAATTCACCTAGAACATGGTGCTTTGCAATGGGCTTTGTCCTGTGGGTGTAGAGCATCACACCTAGAAACTTCACTGGTGATTTTAACCTCAAACCTAGGAGTATTCACAAACCTCCTTTGCTACTGCTATGTTTATTGTTTCTTTAGCACTACAGGAGAAAAGTAAGAAAAAGTAAGTAGCAGAGCAGGAGAAACCAAGGTAAAATATCTGAAATGAAACAGAGCTATGGTAACTTCAGCCATAATATTGTCTTCCTAACACTGATTGAGATCTTTTTTTTCAGATATTTTTTTTCAGTGTTTCAGGAAAGCAATTATAATTCTCTCTATACCTTTTTCACATGACAATCAATAATCTGTGTTACTAAGTAAGCAGTATTATTTAAATTAGCTTTTATTTACCAGTCAGCAAAGGAGAAGTTTCTTTGCAAGGACAAAGTAATGGAACAGGGGTCAGGATTTCACTTTGTAGGTACTGTAAACCTGCCCTGTCCTAATTCTCAGGCAGATAATAAGAACAACCTTGTCTTTCATTATTTCAGTCTGACCTTAAGATATCTTTAAGACTGAATATATTTTGATTTATATACAATTTCATAAGTAAGATCAACCTTCAGCTCAGTATTAACATACACACACTTAGTGCTTCACTATGAGATTCTACAGAAATCTGTAACACTTACCGCATCCATCAACTGAGTTGCATATTTAAAATGCTCATTAATTGGAGAGTCAGCTACATACTTAAACTGAGACTTAGTCTTCTCAAATGTCTCCTTGTACTTACACTGGAGGGAAAAAAAAAACAAAAACAAACACAAAAGCATTCCAATGTTAGTCCAAAGAAGGGTAAGGCAATTAAAACATATGATTTTAGAAACAATCTGCAGAAAACCATGGTAAAATTATTGCATATGTGCATTTAACGTATCTAGAAACAAAAAATGTAAATGTAGTAGTTTGTAAGATGGAAGTATCACATCAAGAAAGCAATGGAAATTTCAAATCTTCATAATTTTAAAGTTAGACTTAGAATCACTAGAAAAATTACTATGGAGCTGATAGCTTTGCAAGTAAAAGATCATTTTGGCTCTGTTTTCTTTTATAGTAAGAATTGAAATTTTAGATGCTATATATTAAGTTCTACCCTGAGTTTTCCCTATCAATGTTGAGGTCAGAATTGGATTCTCCTGTGAAAAATTTATCTACAATATAAACAAAAGTTAAAAAAAATTAAAAATAGACTGTTTTACTTACCCCACTGTAGAGCACCTTATTCTTTTCTGCCAGAGCAAAACTTGGAGTATCCCATGCATAACAGCCCACACCTCTGAGCCATGACAAGTCTTCCTTGTATTTAACCTTTAGAAAAGAAGTAAAAGGATTCAGTTTTAAGTGGCACCAGGTAGTAGCTGATCAATGCTGAAATGGCATCTCAAAACAAGGTGTAGCAAGCAGGGCTACATCCAGTATTAAAGGATGTTCCACCCAGTCTGCAAAATCTCATCGGTGGTGACTGTGGGGATGCTCAAGTGAGCAGAGCAAGTGGTTTATCTGAAACAATCATTTACAGGCTGCCCAGAGAGGTGGTGGGGTCACCTTCCCTGGTGGGATTTAAAAGATGGGTAGACGAGGTGCTGAGGGACATGGTTTAGAGGTGGAATTGGTAGTGTTGGGTTTATGGTTGGACTTGGTGATCTTAAAGGTCTTTTCCAACCACTATGATTCTGTGATTCTGTGATTATAAAATAAGTTACAGTTACTCACACTTTCTGATGGACTCGGATTATTCACGTACCTAATCTATTATGAGCTATTGGAGTTCTTGTGCAAATTAAAAAACCATTTATTCTTGTATAATTAAGGGGCTATTGTATATGTCCAGGTATGTACATTTAAGGGTTGTTATGGGGTTAACAAACAAACCTAAGCAAATGCAACTGAAATGAATTAAGATTGTTCTGTTAATTTTAAAAGGAGATGGGTTGCCATTTTAGCCATCTGGTTTGTTCTGTCAGTTCACAGATCTGCCAGGTGAAAGTGTAAATAATTTTTAAAAGTTCAGCTGCCTTCCTTTTCTCAAGAAATAAGACTTGGTTTTCATTTTGGAAACCTACTTACAACTTCAACCTCTCACATCCAGGAACTATTTGAACTCACATCACTAATAGCATCTGTGACTGCGCGATGATGGTAATGCTCCGGACGGTCTGGGATGGATCTCCAGATTCCTAACTGGCTCATATAATTTTCCTTATATTTCACCTACAAAGAAAATTGAAGAATGAAGTAAAACAACTTGAGAACAGAAGGCTCTAGATCATGCAGTTTCAAAGCATTCCTTTTTCTGAAACATCAGCACGAAAACAGTGCAAATCAGATTAATTTGCATTCACCCTTGTAACATCAAAGGCAATCAAGGGTATAATATTCCAGAGAAGGAAGGAAGTTAATTACAATAGCACTGATCATATTTTTCTGATTACTTGACACACTTAAATAGAATGATAGCATAATTTTAGGTTATTAAATAACACTGACTAGGAGTGAAAATGTTGTGTACATACACTGCTAATGTCATCGGTGACCTTTCGATGATAGACAATATCCAAAGCATCTTTCACTGTGTGGTATTTGCCCTTAGCATTCTCAAAAGTTTCTTTGTAGCGCAACTGGTAAGAAAAATAACATGTAAAATATTATTATATTTAATTGTCAGGAATTGTTTTAGTTAAATTTCCTACCTCTTAGGAATGACATCCAGGGATATGTTGCTCTCCAATATCCTAATGTAAGCCTTGAGGAATTGTAAGAAGCTGCAATTGCTTCCAATCAGTTGCAATATGACTGAGACTTATGGTGAAAATCAGAGAGAAAAGGAGTTGGTACATCTAAAGCAACACTTCATCCTATTCACTTTCAGATTGAAGACTAAGGAAAAAACACCCATGTATCACAGGACTGCTCTCTAGAACAGTGAAAGAGCTGCTTTTGGCATAAAAAACCTCTTTCTCCTTTCTTCCATGTCCTGATCTAGAAGGAAGCAGGAAGTTCATTCCAGTCTTTGGAGAAAGACTTTCTCAGAGGAGTAATTCAGATGTGGGTGTTCCTATGTGGTATTTTAAAATAATTCTTAAGGGAACAGTAAGACTAATCGCTAGAACAAAACACCAGCCCAGCACATTGCCTTCCAGGATATAATGTGCAATCTGAAATACACAGCAAAGATCTTACAAATGAGTAGAGTACTCTTAGCCATTGCCTTAAATCACATTCCACACTTGAAGGAAAAAATCAATTTCACGTTAATAACCTTACGTGCAGCAGCTCAGATAATTTTTCTCTCTAATGTACTTCTAAATTAAAAAATGAGCACATTCTCAGTGATGTGCAAGTTTACTTCTAATACAAAACTGAGATGAAAATATCTGATAAAGGGTATTCTATCCTGGCTCCAGCATCAATCATTTCACTCCAGACTGCACCATTTGGAGATTTCATGTGTAAGCAAATTACTTTAAATTCATTTTTTTTCTTTCTTGTACGACCACATTTCAGTGTAATGGAAAATGAAAATTAATTATAATACATGAAAAAAAGCATTACAGTGACATCAAATAAAAACTTAATCACTGTGATATCAAATGGAAATATACATGCAAATGGGGTGACCTAATTTATGACCCACACTGAGATATTCTATGCTTTGCATGCTTGTTCCTCACTGATCCCTTTTCTGTTCTTTTCACACAGAAATAAAGAACAAGCAGCAGTGAAAGTGTACATACATCACTGGCATTCAGGTAAGCTCTCTTGGCTCTGATCAGGACTGGTGTGTCAGGGATGGGTGTGTACTTGTCCTTCATCTTCTCATACTGGGTTTTATACTTTTTCTAAAAGAGACAGCAAAAAGGAAGAGTTGTATCTTTAATCTTGGAAGTATTTACTAATCTGGTATGATCTTTAATGCCCAGGGGTGCTACACCAAAAGCATAAAGTCATTCTTGCAAAGCACTTCTGTCAAAACTTTGAGAAGCAAGCTCAACTGTTCCATTCTTTCTAGGTCTTTGTGGTATTCTGCAAACACTTAGAACCAGGTATCTTATAAAATACTAAAACACAGTAAAAAGTATACTCTTTTCTCACAATTTGTAAAGGAAATGTGGCACTTAAACATAAGAGACAGAAAATTAAGCAAAGATTAAAGAGATTTGAGCCTTGAAGCTATCACTAAAATTAAAAATAAAACTTCTAAACAGTTCAGCATAGTGGTACCAAACAAAAAAACCCAAATACCTTACCTCACTGACCATGTCCTTTACATGCCTAGCATGTGTAAAGGCTGGAGTGTGACCACCAGCATGATGATGGGGTCTCTCTTTTGTGGCAAGTTCCGTGTACAAGTACTGCAGCAAGAAGAAAAAAAATTAAAAATATACATTTCAGTTAAGTTTTACTTTACCTCTCTGAAAAGTGTCTCTAAATTCACAATGTATACATAACCACACAATTTACCCTGGGAAAAAATAATGTGCTCTTTCCTTTTCCATATTATCTCAGTTCACCTTTCTCTATCAGTACTCTTGATATTCTGTAACTGCCCACAAACCAAGAAGTCAAATGCATGTGGCATTAATGACCTCTCTGCCCTACATTCAGACCTAGTTTTAGATAAGAGCATCCAGAAAGTCTGGTTTCCTCCGGTGAGTATCTTCATTTTGTTCAACAAATTTTAAAATTCCACAAAATTTGTGGCTAATAACTCAGATAATGAACCACTAGATGAATAAAGAAATTATCATGAAAAAAAGGTAGCTAGATAAAGATATTTATTCCTCTGATGAAGTCAGAGTTTCAGAGGATTTGAACAGAACTATACCAGGGTTCAATGCTCTATTTCAGATGGACAAAGCTGATCATGTCCATTACAGAGCCATGGTCAACATGAACATTCATAGCCACTTAAAAATGAGCAACAGTCATTTTAAACATCCTCTCTAAGAATTCTACATTGCTTTGAAATAGCCTGGAAAGATTTTGCTGTACTTTAGAGTACATTAAGAAGAATTCCCTGATTTTTTTTTTATCAGTATGAATTTTTCACCTGGCTCTGTATTTTGTGTCCTTGCTTGGCTCTTAAGAAGTCAGGTGTATCAAGGACGGAAGTGTATTTTGTCTTCAGCTCGTTGCCTGCAGCTCTGTAAACCAGCTGGAAAAAGACAAGGTCATGAATTATTTCTTATGTTGCATATGTTCATTTAGCAGCTGAACAAACACAGATTTGCAATTATAACATCTCATGCATTTCAGAAAAAACAATGAGAGGATCTGAGTTTAAGTATAGCTAACAAAGATGTGCAGAAATAATACCGAACTTACTTCACTCAAATGAGTTTTTAGTTCCTGAACAGCTCTGTATCCAGGAGTATCCAACACCACATTGTATTTAGGCCACATCTTCTTTGCGGTATCAGTGTAGATATAATTAGACTGGGGTGGGGGAAAAAAAGGAGAAAAAAAAAAAAGCAGTATTACTTAGGAAGCTCTTACTGTTCTTGACAGTAAAGAAAATTTTACAGTGTAACCTAACAGTGCTTTGAAACAACTCACTAGCTGCATAGCAAGAAATTCTGTCGTAAATCTTTACTCATTTTCAGGTACTTACACTTCCTGGAAGTGTACAGCATGCATGTTAGATATTAGGAAGAAGTTCTTCACTGTGAGGGTGGTCAGACACTGGAACAGGTTGCCCAAGGAAGTTGTAGATGCCCCCTTCCTGGAAGTGTTCTCGGCCAGGCTGGATGAGGCTTTGAGCAACCTGGTCTAGTGGAAGGTGTCCCTGCTGATGGCAGGGGGGTTGGGACTGGATGAGCTTTAAGGTCCCTTCTAATCCAAACCATTCTATGATTCTATGTAAATAAATCAATCATTGTTATACATGGTTCTCAGAAAAAAAAAACCACCTTACCCAAAGCTTACGCAGATGACGAGCACGGACCATATCAGGAGTATCATACAGGAAGCAACCCAAGCCCTTCAACCACTTCAGATCCTCTTTGTATTTATTCTATGAGGCAATTAGAAAAAGAATACAAAAAGTTAATTTCTGGGATAATTTAATTAATCAGTCCCTAAACACGGTGCCAATGCATTTATCTATTACAGACTAGAATGCAAATGATAGAAGCCAGATTCCACTGTCAGTATAAAAGCATTAGGCCTGTTGTATTAAAATCCTGGGTATTTCAAGAGAAGTTGCTTACATCACTTGTGATATCTCCAACATAGCGACAATGCAACACCTCAGGAGTGTACGGCATGGAAATCAAGTGTCCCTGCATCCTAAAGAAATCTGACTTGTAGATCAGCTGAAAGACAAAGAAAAAATAGCATTTCACATCTTTGGTCATGCTGAATATTCTAAATATCTTCTGTTTATTATGTTAGAAAGACACATACATCACTGACAGCTTCCTGCGTTGCTCTGACTTGTCGGATTTGTGGTGTGTCTGGAGTGGTATGAATCTTGTCCTTGTACTTGTGGTACGTTGCCCGATACAACCTCTGTATCAAAGGAGACAGCATTCTACATGTTAAAAACTTCAAACGGCAAGCAGCTTGGCAGAGTGTAAGTAATTCTCTTTTAAGGGCAGGTTTTTTGCTAGATAATTGCATAACTACCAGAGAAAAGGGAGCAAATAAACTACTTTCTAACCACACAGAGGTTTTCCACAATTGTTTTTGACAGCAGTATCTCTAACACATGGAAAATCTGAGACTCTAATCCTACAGATATGTAAATGTGTATGTTTAATTTTTATTCTATTAAAATTAATTATCAAAGAAGTGTGTGTATGTACATAAAACCCAAAACTATTGACACCCAGTGTCATACAGATACAATAATTTCTATACAACTTTAATCAAGTAGCAGCAGATTGGTTAATAAAATTAAGCTGCACTTGATTTTAAATTATGGTAACAGTTTCACGGGATTACAGAAAATCTGAGTTATCAAGAACCTTAAAAATCCATACAGCCCAACTCCAAGGTGGGATCAATGATCCCTTGCCATTCTTGATGGCTACTGTCTAAATTGCTGTCAAAAGCCTCAAAGAACAGGGATCCTACACCTTCCCAGTCAATGTACTTCCATCATTTGTATTTTGGGCATCAAAAAAAGCAAATACATATATTTACTGTACCTCATTAACCACTTTATTCACTTTCTTCACATTTTCAAACCCAACATCTTCAGGTCCCAGAGTATAGCCTTTAGCTTTCATGTGTTCATAGGCTTCTTTGTACTTCAGCTATGAAGTGGAAAAAGGAACAAAACCATGCAGAAACTAAATTTGATGGTGATTCTACTTACACTGCAGTTCTGACAGTAATTTATGCACTATAGAGCCAGATTTGTAGAGATAAACAAGTGAGATGTAGCTATATTAGTGTTAAATAAACTACATATCATCATGATTTTTACCTTTATCACGACTAATGATGTTTTAAATTTCTCTTGCATCTAATAAGGTATTTGCATCTGCCTGAGAAAATTTGTATTTTGATAGTAATTGCTTTAGATAATTATAGGGTTTGGTAATATTTAAATTCTGTTAAGGCAAACATTATAAAAGGTGGGGTTTGAGTGCACTCTTAAGATTTAATTGCCCTGACTGTCCACATCTGGGATGCCAGGCCTTACCCGAGCTATGTTTTAAGCACATCTGTCTTCAGCTCTGTCTCCATCCTCATTTCCTGGATGGACATTGGTCCATCAGTTACATGTCTCTTGTAGCCCTGTCTCCAGGATTTACCAGGACCTGTGTTGTAGGTAGTTTGTCACCAATCTCTGCTCTTTTTCCCACATCTCCTGACTGATCCCCTTGGATGGACTTTGGACCTGGTTCCTCACCTTGCCTGGGACTGTTGATGCAACCTGTTATCAGCACCCTGCTCTGCCCACCCTATTCAAGTACAGTGGGACCCTGGATGATGAGGTCATTGCTTATGTTGCTGTCACCCTCAATTCCTGGCTCGGGCATCTATATGAACTACCCCACTCTTGTTGCTCTCGGATAAGCAATCTTGTAACTGAGAAATAACTGTCTCAAACAGCTGTGTGCTCTTACAGGATGGGTATCAAATATTCCTTTGCAACTCATGTTGTAGAAGGACTTGGTGTGTTACTTACATCACTGCCAATGTATTGGACATGTTTGGCGTGCTGAAAGCTGGGCATATCTTTTGGAAGGCTGTATCCAGTAGGCAGAGCTTGCACACCAGCCCAACGATACAAATTCTGCAAGAGAAAAGAGAAAGTTTGTGAACTGTGTGTAATCACAGAACATTGTGAGCTGGAAGGGACCCACAAGGATGATGGAGTCCAACTCCTGTCCCTGCACAGGACAATCCCAACATTCACACCATGTCCCTGAGGGCCTTGGTCAAATGCTGCTGGAATCTTGTCAGCCTTGGTGCCATGAGCACCTCCCTGGGCAGCCTGTTCCAGTGCTCCACCACCCTCTGCCTCAAGAACCTTTTCCTCATGGCCAACCTCACCCTCCCCTGCCACATCTTCCTGCCATTCCCTCTGCTCCTGGCATTCGTTGGTGGCCAGAGAGAAGAGATCAGCACCTGCTCCTTGTCTTCCCCTCCACGCCCCCCTTTTTAAAAATGTGTATTTAAGCAAGTCCTTAATAGATGGAATCACATACTTGTTTCCTGCTTAAATGTAATAAGCTACTTTTGACCTAATTTTGCTATTCTAGGGCACAGTAGAGCCTGTGCAGACTGATGTAGTTCCACCTGAGAGTATTCATTAGCTGTATAGGAAATCTCTTAATTGCAATTGGCAACAGATTCCCCCCATGTCTGCATTATAATGCATACTTGTAGCCTAAATTAAGACATTTTCCCAATTTCATTTTAGAGCAGTGAAATCTAGCTTCTTTATCTGTAAAGCTACACACAGACATTAACTTTTAAAGAATTTGCTTTTGAATATTAGAAACTCTGTGGACCTAAAGGTTTTATACTTACTTCACTCTGTATTTTGTTTGCGTGATATGCCCGCTCCAAATCTACTGTTTTGTCAGTGGGAATCATTTTGCCTTTAACATTGTGCATGTATTCACCACGATAGACAGCCTGAGAAAAGGAAAAGGTAATTAGAGGAGAGTCATCATTGCGATAGTCGCTCACAGTATGTATTGTTTGCATACACATGGAAATTTCTCCTAAAAAACTGGATGAAAGCTAATTGGATTCAAGCAATTAATTATTTTAGTGATTGTGTTCTCATATCTTAATAAAAGCATAGGCAATGAGTTGTAGATAACCAGCAATAATTAAATTATTAAAATGAAATTATTAAAAAATATTAAAAGTCACATTTCTAGAAGTTGTGAGGTAATGGCATATGCAACATTGGGGGTGAAAGTTGACAAAACACTTACTTCACTTAAATTCAAGCCACTGAGGACATTCTGGACATAGACAGGAGTGTCCACAACTACAGTGTATTCATTCTTCATTTTTTCTGCCTTAGATTTATACTTAATCTGCAGAGAGAAGTTCAAGAGCTCTAATTAGTAAGGTTAGTCATTTTTAATTGAATTTTTTACATTATTATATTTCCTATATTTACTGTTTATTTTATTAATGAACTATTCTATTTGTGAACCAGCATTTAAACAGAAAGAGTATTGCAGTTATAGATGAATAAATGAACATGGCACCTTACTAGGTAAGAACAGTTGGTAAGTTTTATCAAGGAACATTAAGAAATGTCAACACTTACTGATAGAAAAGGTGTATGTATTATATGACAAATATCCAACATAATTCTGATACAGAACCTATGAAGGGACATAGATTCTTGAAATCCAGAATGGTTATTCTCCCATTTTAATGGCTTAATCTCAAACAAAGTAAGTATCATAAGATTTTGAGAAGAGAAAAATAAATCACAAAATCAACATAAAAATAACTTTTTTTTTAATATGACTTTTGAATAATTTCTGCTTTACTTCAAGGTTTCCGAATTAAGAATTACTGACTTAAGTACTTTTCTGAGAAGGCAAGTATTTAATCATATGCTTAATTCTTCCCTGAATGGGATGTAATCTGACAGTGTCTACTTCTAGAGTAGCAAAGCTGAAATAACCATATATGTTTTTTTAATGAATACTTCAGTAGAGAAGGACATAAAACATTTTCCAGATTATATCTGGAGTAGAATAAAGCTACTCCATCCTTTTAATACAACAGAAACAAAAAAGCTAGGAAGCAAACCCAGTGTATTCACTCACATCACTGCGAAGATCGTAGGCATGTTTGGCATGGAGAATTTCAGGAGTGTCCCAAACAAAGCAGCCGATGCCTTTCAGCCAGTTAAGATCATCCTTGTACACCACCTAAAGTATCAAAGCAAAGAAGCCATCTGTAAGATTTCCACTAGGATCTAATCCCTTATTGCTAAATCAGTCTGAAACGCAACTGTCAAATGATGGCAAATAAGGTTTCCAGTAATTTGACTCTTTTTTTGGTTTAAGAAAATCAAAACAATTCTTTTTTGGAATTTAAATATCTTTTCTTTGTTGCTTCAGTTTGGCCAATAAATAAAAAACCTCAAATGTTTTTTTAAAAAGCTACTTGCTTAAAAAACTACTTGCTTATCCTACTGGGCAATGATTTACTCATAGGTCGTTGGCCTACTCCTGGGTTGACCTGTGCAAGGCAAGTGTGTACAAGCTTCCCAAGAGGGTTTTCTCAAGCTTCCAGTTTCCACACCTGATGCAACCAAGTAATACAGGACAATTTACAGACAGGAATGGCTGAACTGGTAGAACTGTGATGTTATGACCCAATGATAACACTGAAATTAAGCACACTAAGCCACACCTCAACTGCACACTTACTACCAAGTGTTAGGTCAACATGATACAGATGCTGTTTAGCAGTGCATAACTCAACAGATTCAAATGGAAACTTCCAATTATGTTTTTGCTAAATCATTTCCTCTAACAGAGCATAAATGCAAGAATCTTCTTAAAAAGTGAGCCACGAACAAATGATTTGCGAACTTACATCACTGAGCTGATCAGTCACTTTTCGAACGTGGGCATTGACTTGAAGATCTGGTAGGCAGAGCCATTCGTGGAGGTGTGTGCGGTAATCAATTTCACTGACTTTCTTCTGTGCATCCTTAGCAGAAACGATGTCTACCATGTCTGGAATAATGTGGATTTTGGCTTTATTCTTTTCATAGACTTCCTTGTACAGACGCTGCAGAGTTAAAGCAGTACATTAATAATGCTGACAAATAGCCTGAAGCATTAACTGTTGATAAATTTGAAGCAAAATTATTGATATTTTCATGGACTGTTAGTGGAAGAGCAATCAGTTTGGCTATCATTAAAATTTACATCTTGTCTGCTCCAAAGATAATTTACAGGATCTTAACAAGGGTGATAAAGTATGACTTGTCAAACTTTCATTGTACTCAGGTGTAAAGAGGAGGTAGACTATGTGGTGCTCCATTTTATACATAAACATACTACTCTAACAGTTTAGCCATATGGGCAATTTAACAGTTGAGTCACAAGCTTGAAAAGACATTTGTAGAGGTATTATAGAATTTAGCAAATACCAAACACTGAGGGAGCTGTGGTTGTTTAGCCTGGAGAAAAGGAGGCTGAGGGGACACCTTCTCACTCTCTACAACTCCCTGAAAGGAGGATAGAGAGAGGTGGGGGTGGGTCTCTTCTCCCAGGTAACAAGTGACAGAATGAGAGGAAATGGCCTCAAATTGCCCCAGGGTAGGTTTAGATTGGATCTGAGGAAAAACTTCTTCACCCAAAGGGCAGTCAAGCTTTGGAACAGGCTGCCAAGGGCAGTGGTGGAGTCCCCATCCCTAGTGGGATTTAAAAGACGGGTAGATGAGGTGCTCAGGGACATGGGTTAGATGTGGAATGGTCAGTGTTGGGTTTATGGTTGGACTTGATGATCTTAAAGGTCTTTTTCAACCACTAGGATTCTGCAAAATGTGATACCTGAATGAAGGCATGTGGATTCTTTGAGTAGCCTCTTTGAGATAAGTAAGGTTTTATCAGGAAAACACACATCAGAAAACACTTACATCAATATTAAGCTTTCCAACTCGAAGGCACCTCGCTGTATTGGGATCATCCTCAACACCTCTGGGTAGTGTGTACAGTGCTTTAAACTTGTCATATTCTTCTCTGTATTTTACCTAAGCAGATGCAAAGAAAGGCAACAAATAACCGACTTATGACAATGAGTCAATTGTATTTTTGGAAAAAAATTAATCAGTAAGTAAAATATTTAGTTTAGTTCAATGAGCAGAGAAAGCCTTTAAAGCAGGATCTTGGTTTTGTATTTTATTTTAAATGGCAAAGAGAGCACATCGTAACTATTGTGTTATAAAAATAACAACAGCTGACTAGAAGACTTTACAAATAACTAGATGTAGAATAAACTATTTATTTTTTCAGCTCTTTCATTTAAAGATATCCACGAAGAGAGTGATGTCTCATAAGCCTCAGTTCAGTAAATCTCCTATACTCAGTAAAGCATCATTTAAAGACACTTGGTGTTTTCCTGACCTGGATGCTTAAGACTAAAAAAGAAATCTAAACAGACATTTTCAAGAAACAGCTTCTATTTCTATGAAATGTGACTTTTTTTTCCATTAAAAGAAGCAGCAAAGGACTATCTAACTGTTATCCAAATGATTATCACAGACAACTGATTGTCTGCAGATACTTATTACACCTAAATTAAAAATAGAAGATATTTTTTTTAAATAGTTTTTATACCTATAGTATATTCAATGCATGAAGAAATCCATTGTTAGAATTGATGATCTGATTAAAAATAAGAAATTATTTTATTCACTTACAATACTGGCATTATGCTTCAGTTCTTTTGCACGTGCAAGGGATACAGAATCAGAGGGCAATATATAGCCAGTAGCTTTCACTTTTTCCCAGGCTTCCTTGTAGAGATTCTGTTGGGAAACAGAAAGTCTTTGTGAGTGGAAAAATTCTTCTCCTGGATAATAACCAACAATCAACAGAATTCAAAAGCCCTTCTGCTTTTATTTATATGCCATAACTATTACTTAATATCAAGAGGCTGTTTAATCTTGACAGTGCATGTAAAGGGCGACAAAAATGCTTTCTAACCGCTCATGTCCATTCTCATACAAGGTCTTAATTTTGTTCAGGTGCAATTTTCTTCAGGGAATCTACTTATGAAGATGTCCCTGCTGATGGCAGGGGGATTGGAAACTAGATGATCTTTAAGGTCCCTTCCAATCCTAACCATTCTATGATTCTATGAAAGCAGGTATTCTGACAAAACTGGAAGTACAGTTAGAAAATATGCCCTCTGCCTGAAACACAGCATCTTCCCCATAGTCAAGCAATTCAGAGGGCTATCACTGGCTTTGATAAGCTCCATGTTTGGATATTTATCTTCAAAAGGAAGGAACATAAAACAAAAATCCGACATAGTAGCATCTTAAAAAAAATGTGTAGAAACACTTACATTGCTAAAGAGATGTTTCAAATGATGAACTCTCTCAGAATCCACTGTTTCAGTCACAGTTGTATACTTGTCCTTAGTTTTGTGGTAATCTTGCTTGTATTTCACCTGTAAGATGAAAGATAGATTCAGGTAACTTGTTTCAGTTCTCGGAAGGAGCAGAGGGAAAAGCCTGAGTGGAAAAAGTGGGAGACTCACATCACTGGCATTTAAAGCACTCTGCACTGCAGTCACATAGAGAGGTGTGTCAGTAACAACACCAAAGTTCTGAAGATTCTCTTTTCCTGCAGCTGTATATTTTATCTATGGAAACAAAACCAAAACAAACATTAATGCAGAAAATGACCAGGAAATTCCTTGCCAGCTTCCTTTAAAATCAGTTCTGGACAACTGAAGCCCAGGATTATGGCCCAGTTAAGGCAACTTTAAAAGTCAAAGGCCACAGAAAAGAAATACTTAATACTTTGCCAGTATGAAGTAAAGAATAATGAAAATTGCACATCACTGTTGTATCTAGTAGGCTAAGAGTACAATCATCAAGGCAAGAGACACTATTTTCCAAAGAAATGTCTCACTGAGGCACCTTGTGCACAAGGTGGCATACTGAAAGACAAAGTGTTATCTTCTCACTGTTAAAAGCCACAACCTTGCTGTCCTTCCATTCTCCTTAAGTTTCCTGCTCCTTCAATAACAAAAGTGATCATGTCTTTACAGAAGAAACTGAGAGAGTGTATTATAATAGTTTGAACAAAATATTTCTGATGTAATAGGAATAACTTAATTCTGTTCTGGACTAGGACAGGTGTCAGTCCCAGTCAATCACAAATGGAAGAAAAAAATCTTATAAATATTTACTTATTTGAAGAAAACATGCTTACTTGGCTCTGGAGGTCATACGATTTTTTAGCATGCAGGATTTGTGGAGTATCCCAGACATAACATCCGAGTCCCTTCAGCCAATTTAAGTCATCTTTATACACCACCTATACAGAAGAAAACAGGCTATTAAGTTAGGAATAAATTTGCCTTCTGCTTGAAGAAAATAATATTTGTTTCTTCTTTATATTCAATGTCTTTCACTTGTGCAAACTCAACCACTGAATCTGAACCAGGCTCATTCCAGTCTGTTTGCAAGTTTAAATGTGAGCAGAGAAGACTAGCCCATCTCATGGTTTCACTGAATGATTTTTACCCACTGGATTTGCAAGGGAAATGAAACCAAATAATACAGCATAGCAATAGGTCAGGCAATTAACGAGTCATCTAATCTTATTAGGAAGGTTGGTTGGCTCAAGTTGAGATGCTGTTGATTGTGTAATATAAAAAAGTGTCATGGTTCAGGGTGTCATTCACTCAGCTCAGACTCTGTGGACTGATACAACCCCAAACGAACAGAAAGGTCTTTTCCAGACCCTTCGGATCCAGGAGGATTGTGGATGCTGTCCTGGCCTCTGTGCAAATGACAACATTGCCAATTAAAATACATAACGATCACTGCAGTGTAGCAACATTCTGACTGCACCATGGTACACCCACATCTCTTCCCTGCGGGAGACAGATGGTGAGCTTTCTACACAGTCTCATCTAGTCAAAGAGAGATTAAATGTTGACAGCAGTGGCCTTTGGGAAGGTTTCATAAAGGTTAACCTAAATTTTGTCCAATTAACAAGTGAATAATAAATAACCAGACCATTAAAATGTCCCAAAGAATTCTGTAAAAATGTAATTTTCAGTACTGTGCTACTAAGTAATCTAAGATCATGGTTATTAATTTCATATTTAAATGCTATGGAAGATATTTGAAAGTATTTTATATTTAAATACCTTGGAAAAAATTACATGAAAGGCTACTAAAATGTCAAATAAATGAAACACATACATCACTTAAAATTTCCTGGGCTTTTCTGGCTTGAATAACATCATTTTCTTCAGGTGAACAACTCCACTGGTGGAAGTAAGTTCGGTATTCAAGATCACTGAGGATATACTGGCACTTCTTGGCTAGCACGTGATTCATCATGTCACTTGGAATATGGACATTTGCTTTGGTGTCTTCGTAATTCTTTCTGTATGCCAACTAAAAAGGAAAGATTGGGGAAAAGATGAGAAGAGACAATAGTGTTTTTCTGCATAATTTTGACTCTAATAGGCTACATGTTGTACCATAATATGAGGCATGCTTTCTGGATTTAGTAGCTAAATTCCCATGGGATTGAATAGGATGAAATCTTAACTTTGCTATTAATCACCATTTATTCTGATGAGGTTCTAGCAGGACAAGAATGACCTCCTACACTTGCAAATTTAACAGTGGGTGAGAAAATTAACAAGACTTCAAGATAAAAAAAGTCATATGCTACAAATATGCTTTTAATCTAGTTAAATCTCCCTGTCCAAATGAAGACAGAATATTTGGGATTATACTCATTTTATGCCCTGCATGACATGTTATACGTGCAGCGGCAACAATAACAAACCACCAAATGGCCATTTACGTTTCCAGTTCTCAACTTCCTATTTCAATTCAAAATAAGCACTTTTTCTTTTTGTAAAGCAAAAGAATCCCAAGTCATGTAGTATTTCTTACTGCTCAGATTCTTAAACTGAAATAGAAAAAAGGGGGGTTTTTTTCCCCTGTCCAATAGCTAAACAAATCCCTTCTTAATCTCCTAAACCATTTCAAGTTCAATTATTCACCCCATGTACAAAATAACCATTCAGGAAACATAAACATGTTGAAAACACTTTTACTGATGTTATTAAGCATTGCATTATTTATGTTTAAATATTTTACACTAAAATAAAGAACATGGGTAATACTAGAGCAAGATAAATTCTCTCCTTACCGCGCTCCTCATTTTCTGGAATGCTAGTGAATGAATGACACTGGGGAAATCACCGACCTCCTTCCCAGCCAAGTAATGGCCTTTCAGCTTCTCATATATTGCTTTATATTTAAGCTGCAAAATATTAATGAGGAAATTTTAAATTTCATTCTAACAACATATGGGGGGGGGGGGAAAGAAGAGAAAGAATGGAAAATTCATACTAACCTCACTATTTATGTAGTTCGCATGCTTCGCTCCAACAAGTGGAATATATTTCTCATCCAAAGTATACCCAATGGGTTTGCTAATTTCCCAAGCTTTTTTATAAAGTTTCTAGATAAACCAAACACATACAAGTTTTGATTAAAAAAACATTATATTTTCCAAGAAATCTGACTCTGCCATTCATACACACCTAGAATATGACAACTTCTATAGAGTAGTTCCTTATTCCATAAATTGTCCCAATAAAGTAAATGAAGAATATTTATTTTGAGCACTTATTCAGTATGACTAAGACAAACCCAGTACATGTCCCAGTTCAGGAAGGTGCCTGAGCACAAATTTGAGCTGATCGCTGCTTTCTTTACTATATTTGGAATTTAACATTTCTCATCCAGAACAGTAATAGAAAAATCCAAAATGTAGATATGAACTATTGTTTAAAAGTACAGTATAAAATTGACTTTGATAATTTTATAGATAAATGTTCAAAATTGTTAAAAATCTTGAAGTAATACTATTTATTGTAAGAGCATTAACTGTGTCAGTGGCATATTTCTAATACATCATATTTTGTTAAATACTAAATATATTTACTTTCAGACTAAATTATGAAGCACCTACTCGTATGAATGAGTAACCACTCACATTTTTAAAAAATAGAGATTGCCCACTAAAATCAGTAAGACTACTAAAAAGTAACTGCTTAATAATGTAAATCATCTACAATTTTCCTCTCCTATTAAAAAAAAAAAAAGCCAATTTCATCAGTAGTCCAGGAAGATGTTATTGGATGGAATTGTAAATTGTTTTTGTCATGCAAACTCTACTACTACCACTACTACTACTGCTATTACTGCTTCCAAACAGCACTGAGCAGTGCTTTAAGATTAGTTCAATAAGGAGAGATATTATCCTTATCCCAATGATGCAATTTGGGAAAAAGTGGAGAAAAAAAGAGATTAAATAGCTTTCCCAGGGCTACTCAGTTGACTCATGACAGAAGCAAAAGTAGAACAGTATACTGAAGCCCACTCTACATTTGGTTGCTTTCAAAACAAACAAATTAAAGCTTAATTAGTTATCAAATCTTACATCACTGTATAGTAAGGACATGTCTTTGGCATGGTTGAGTGCAGGAGTATCATCAGACCCAATATACTGGCCTTTCTCAAGGTTAAACGTTTCTTTGTATTTGAGCTGCAAAAGAAAACAAACACAATGTTAATTCCACAGGAGAAATAAATTATCCCAACTAGTCCATCTATTAGAAGCAGACATTAATTTTCTGTTATCATATCTTCAATAATGTTGTGTAGCACATTCCAACTACTCTAGTCCACAAGCAAATGTCATCAGTACGTCACACCACAAAATCCACACAGTATTCTAGTGAAATGAAATATATTGATCAGCAAATACAGATTAGTAGCAACACCAGGAACTCCACTAGCACTGTACAACTAACTGCTGTTCACCAAGAACAGGACTCAATTTTAAACTACTATAAGCAAAATCAATGTATGCTCTAAATAAGGGACAGGGGGTATTTTTTGACAGAAAAATGTAAAATCATTTTGGATAGCAATATCATATTGTTCATTCGCATCACTTCTTATTAAACTTATTTACCGCAGTAAAAGTCTATTATTAGTGAAGCATGCATATACACACATACACATACGTAGGGCTAAACACAGTATAATTTTGCAAAAGTGATTAAGTAATCTACTAATTCTAGTAATATAACAGTTTCTATAAAAAAAAAAAACAAAAAAAGTACATACATCACTCTGATTGACAGAGTTAAGCTTTGCCAAAACAATGTCTGGAGTGTCAACCACACTGGTGTAATTGGAGAAGTTATCAAGGGCTTCTTTTGTGTATGCTCTCTGCAAAGAGATGAAAAATTTTCTTAAATACTGTGCATGAGGAAGAAAAGCTAATTGCTTAACTGCTAAAATATTGTCTCTTACCTTATTTATCAGTTCTTGTGCATTCTTAACTTTCTTATGTTCCACTGAATCCAGAGGAATCCAGCCACAGCCACGAAGCCATTCCAAATCAGATTTATAAATATTCTAAAATATAAAAGATAATTAAAAAGGAAAGAAGTTATTTAATTCATGATGACATTTTTCAGTCTTACGTAATGTGGACAATATACTTAGAGCAAACTACGTGGAAATAACATAGTATGTGTGTAATATCACTTACATCACTTTGCAGATCATAGGCCTTCCTTGCCTGAATACAGTCATTCTGGTCAGGATGGCATGTCCATTGGCGCAGGTATTGGCGGTAGTCAACTTCACTGACCAAATTCTGGCATTCCTTTGCTGCTACAACTGACACCATATCTGGAGGGATGTGAATTTTGGACTTTGTTTTGTGATAGTCTGATTTGTACAATCTGTCATTCTGGATCTCGCCTGCGTGCTCAAACCACACCAGTTTTGGATCATCTCTCATACTGGGAACTCCAACATAGTGACCTTTTTGTTTGACATACTCCGCTTTGTATTTAAGCTGATGGAAGAGGAGAGAAATAGGTATAAAATCAGCTCTGATTATATCTTCTCTTTTTTTTAACCTGTGAACAGCTATGGTTTTGTCAACACAAACAATAGATGAGATAGGGAGTTGCCAACCTAAGTTGTCAACTTAGGTTTTCAGTACATAACCAGATAAAAATATGACACAAACAGCAGTGTTACTTTGTATAGTCCTTCCACCTCAAAATATATAATTTTCTAGACTAATATGCTGCTATTTTTCTGTAAATAGTATTTTCAACATAAGAGGAAAGCCTTGTTAGAAAATATTTGCTAATAAGTGCACTTAGCCTCAGTTTTGTTACAAATTCTTGTAACAAATTATTTGAGACTGTCTGAAGAATAGATGCTTATTTAAGGTATTTACATCACACTGTTTTGATAAAATTCAAACTAGGAATCATGTAGTAGTTTCAACATCCACTATACAAAAGTTTAAAATGCAGTGTGCACACCATCTTACAGTTTTAGAGGAAGCAAGGTTTCATAATATGTCAAAAAGTGAAATCAGAGCTATATACTGTAATCATATCACTGCAATTATTTAACATTTATAAAATATGGAAGTCCACCTTAGCTGATTTTGAAAGGACTGTTTCTGGAGAAAGGAGAATTTGACCTTTCAGCACTGATACCTGCAAAACCCATAATAACAAGGATGGCTGAATTGTTTGGAGGACAGTGGACTTCATGGGTCATGAAAAGTCTACTGGATGTTACACCCAATGGAAAGCTTTCTGTGTCTGTTGAATTTACAACGCCTTTAACATTTCCAGGCTTCCAAGCCCTTGCCTTCCTAATAAGAAAAATTCTTACCTCACTTTGGACATCATTTGAGCGTTTGGCATGACAGATCTGCACAGTGTCAGGAGGTAAGAGGTAACCAGTGGCTTTTTCTTTCTCCCAACTTTCCTTGTATAAATTCTGTGGAAAATAAAAATGAGGAGGAATTCAACACTACTATAATGATAATTATTACAGTATGTATGTCACTGAAATTAAAGTATAAGGATAGTAAATCCTTACTTTAGGATGTTCCTAATCAGGCAAGTTTTCTAAATTCCTTGTAAGAGTTATTAATGTGAGTAGGAATTCTCAAGGAGAGATGACATACCTGATTAAGAATTCTGGCTGCCTCTCGGGCCATATCGAGCTGTGGTGTATCTGTTACGGTATAATTTGACTTGACCTCATTCCATGCTTTGTGGTATTTAATCTAGAACAGAGAAAGAAATGACTGACACACAGCACCATTACAAAATTGGAAAAACTTAATACCAAGACCCATATTTTATGCATGAAATAATGTATAAAACCCTGAATTTGCAAGGCTATTAGACAGGACACATTAAATATACATCCAAATGGTTATTTTTTAAAAAAGGAAATTATACAAGACAAGAAATTACAAAATTTCTCAGAGGAAATTTTTACAGCTTGTTCTAAGGCAGCTGGATAGACAGGGAAGAACCTTCAGAAGTCAAAGTTATGCTACTTGTTTGGTCTATAGGGACGTACAGCCAATAGCCAAGCAAGAAGTGTTTGAACTGAGGAGCTAGCACTGTCTTTTCACATGTCTAGGAAAGATGTTCTACTGCTTGAGGAGCTTCTTCCCTCATAAGTGATGGACAGAAGCTAATGGAGTCCTTCTCATCTTTATGTGATACACTGACAGAATTTGCAGAGACTGATCAAGAATTCTTTTGCATTATTTTTAAAAGATAAAAGAAATATCCTTTCAAAGATGAAATCCTACCATGTAACCCTACAGACCAAGTTAACAGCTCAGAAACATGCTAGCAAACTTACATCACTACGAATTTCACCACTATTCCTTGCTGTGATAAAATCAACTCTGTCCGCCACTGGAGTAAATGGGAGAGTTTCAGCTTTTGTACGGTACTTTCTCTATACAAGAGAAAAGATGAACAGTCAGATTATACTGGCATGTTTTATAGCTAACACAGCAATTCTGAATACATAGACAAGACAAGAAAGTTTGCATGGAAAGAAAAAATTCTCCATATACAATGAATGCTGTGGAAATACTCCAGCTCTATTTTTTATTTACAAAAAATATTGATGTACTAAACCATTAAAAAGACTTTAAATTACAAATATCCTGAAGAAAATGTCAGTATTGAGAAAACATTTTATTACCTCATTCAAGATATCTCCAGCGTATTTGACATGGTTGATTCCAACTGAATCATTTGGCAACCATCCAATTCCCCGTAACCATTCTAAATCAGATTTGTAAATAGCCTGGGAAAACAAAATAGGGTCCATGCTGTTAGCTACAGTTCCCTGTATGATCCAGCAAGGTTCACAAATAATGGCACTTACTTCCACTGGTTAGAAGGAGAGCAGTAATGCCAACATGAGTGCTGTATCTGAATTTATGACACTTCAAACTTGGCAATATATAACAGTGGTATACCTTTGGCATTCTTAATAAAAAGCAAAGCCAATTCACTGAATTCAGCAGAAGACTCCCACTACTTATAGCTGAAGCAGACTAAGAACAGACAATACAATAATAAGTCAAGCTAAGTTTTCATGTTAACTCACATCACTCTGAAGCTCGTAGGCTTTCCTGGCCTGTATGACATCATTCTGATCCGGAAGACAGATCCACTGACGCAAGTATTGCCGGTAATCAACATCACTGACCAAAGACTGACCATGTTTTGCTGACAGGATAGATAGCATGTCTACTGGTAGGTGGCACTGTGTCTTCCATTTGGCAAAGTGTTTCTTGTATTCTAGTTCACTCTGAACTTTGCCTATGCCAAGGGCAAACTGCATTTTCGTATCTGCTTTCGCATTTGGAACTCCAACATAATGTCCTTTCTGCTTCTCATGATCCAGTTTGTATTTATACTGGGTAAAGAGCAAAGATCACCATTACTAACAGTTATCATTGAATAGCTCTTAAAGCATGTGAAGAGCTAGATGCCTCTTTTGGCACTTACATCACTAGCAATTTCTCTAGAAGCTTTGGCTGCCTTGATCGGGATTGCATCTGCTCTCAAATCATAACTTGTCTTCAACTCATCCCAAGATTCTTTATATAGTTTCTGAAAAGACAGCAAAATGAATGTAGGGGGTTGGAAGGGACCTCAGGAGATCATCTAGTCCAAATGTCACACACATGCTAAATACTCTGGTATTTGCTGTTAAAAACATATAGTTTACTGCCATTTGTTAGCTGAAATACCTTAAGAATATTTTGTGCACTACTCTTGCTCCTAGCCATAAATACTGCTGCAAATCTTGCTGCACACAATTCAAACATGTACACCACCTGCAACACCAGTTTTGCAACCTATACTGCATAGAAGGGTGTTTGTAAAAGTTTAGAAAGTATTTATATGCCTTGGGCTGTCATTCATTTCAACAAAATATTATCTCAATCATGCATGATATTGAAAATTTTTAAACAGTTGTATGCAAGAATTTATTTTAAAATGTCTAAATACTCGAAGAATACTCAGCGAAGGGAGGGGAATGTTGCAAGACCTGTGTGAGGACAAACTTCAATGAGATTCACATGACTTAATCTTCAATGTTGTAAGTAACATCTTAGAATGTTAAAATTCACAGGAGACACGTACTACTTTACAGAAATGTAGAAAATAGAGTGATGAGCATACCTGGCTATAGTTAACAGCATTAGCCTTGGCTAGGTTGATTTCAGGTGTGTCTGGCATAATATGGATCATCGTCTTGTCCTTTTCCCAGGCTTCTTTGTATTTTGGCTGTTAAAATAGTTCATTTCATGACATTGTAACTATGGTGTTTCACTTGTCAATAACATAAAACCCCATAAACCCCTCCTGAATTGTCATCTCTAAAAAATAAAGTGTCTGTAAAAGCATTGAACTTGACTTAAAATACCACTGATCAATTTTACACTTCAGCGGTGAGATTTAAGAACATCGTTACGTACAACGCTGATTTGTTCGGCGTTCACTTTAGCAAGAAGGATGTCTGGAGAATCAACAATATTGGTGTATTTCAGGCTTTCAATAGGTGTACGATATACATTATCACTCAGGAGATCCTGGGCATTCTTCACTCTCTTAATATCCGGAGAGTCATTAGGCAACCAGCCAATTCCACGGAGCCACTCTAGGTCTGACTTATAGACAGCCTGTATCAGACATGGTCAGAAAAGGAAAATATTGTGTTTAAAATGACTGTGTTAATTATTTTAAACTATATAAAGCAGTACATGTTTTAGAGTATGTCAAATCAGCTAGAGCTAGATTAATCCTTTTCATATACAAGAGATATTCAGTGTCATAAATAAAATACAATCTGGAAACCAGGTTTTAAGTAGTTCATTTCTTAAACAATACATTCTAAACCTCATGCGGTTAAATAGAAGGGAAACAACTGATTAGAATTGCCATTAATGTTTATGAGTATTAAGATCTTAAAAGAGTCTTCCTGTCCCCTCCAAAATACTCCCCTAGTCACTTCGATAATTTACAAGTCCACACAAAAAAGCAAGCTGCCTAACATGAAATTTGACAAAAAAGAGGGGAAAAAATGATTATTGAGGTAATGGGGACTAGAGCTAATGGGAGTAACTCCTGAAGTGGTATCAGGGAACATCATTTAAGTTTTAATTGAGCAAACCCTTCAGCAAGGAACATGAGTCTCACCTTTGAAGCTCATAATTGAAATAATTATGTGACTAATGTTGATTGATAAGCAGCAAAGCCAAGTCAGGAAATCAGCTACACTGACTCCTTCTGCTTTGAAATCAGCCACTAAACCATCTGACCTACTATCCTACACAGCTTTTGTGCAATTAAATAAATTACCAAATCAACTCAGATAAACAGGAGTAATAAAAGCCACCTGATTCCAAAGTAGCAAATAGATGTTATTTCGTAAGTCTCACAGAAGAAAGACAAATCCTTCATCCACTCCAAATCACAATACTCCAAAAGCATATGTAACATAGCAGTACCAGCTAGAGCTTTTATAAAATTTAGAGTTAATACAAATACTTTTTAGAAGATAAAAAGAGCAGATAATAGCAGTAACATGAAAAACTGAAGAAAACAGTCTAAATATAAATCCTTCATGAGTGTATAATGTCAAACCACTAAAATAAGGCTATAATATATTAAATACAAAGAGTAGCAGCTACCACATCTCTACACATACTCACATCACTCTGAAGGTCATAGGCCTTCTTTGCATGGATCACATCATTCTGGTCAGGCAGGCAGGTCCACTGGTGAAGGTAGTGGCGGTAGTCAACGTCACTGACCAGTGTCTGGCACTCCTTGGCTGCCTGCACTGACATGGCATCCACTGGTATGTGCACCTGGGCCTTGGAATCATGGTACGCCTTCCTGTAAATCCGGTCATTCTGCAGCGCCATGGCACGCGCGGCCCACGACAGTTTGGGATCATCCTTGACAGATGGGCACCCAATGTAGTGGCCTTTCTGCTTCTCGTGAGTTTCTTTGTACTTGTACTAGAAATACAAAAATAACTTAATCAGCCACATATTTCTCACCCAAATGTTGCTAACAAACAAAAAGCTTTCAGCTTCCTAAGCTGTCAAACCTTTGATGCATTGCCCAGAAGTTCTGCCTTGGCACAGACAAAGCTCCTGTCCACTCAAAAGGCAGGCCCTGAAACTCCCCCAAAAAAAGACATTCCCCAAGTCACCCACAATTTTTACAATTATCTTTCGCTTTTCTTAACACTCATAAATAATTAAATATGGTACTGAAGCAGACACCTGTGCACTCTGTAAGACCACTATGAGCACCAGCCAAAATTCACATCTTTAGAGAGTAAATATTGGATAGTGGTGGGTACAGGGAAT